TTCAGGATATGAAAAAGAAACCAAGGGACGAGAAAGGGAAAATTGCTGAGCGTTTTAGAGTGGGCGTTTGTGTGCTTTTTCTAATCTTAAGGGGGAAAGCTGCCATGGGAATAATAAAAGTTCAGTAAACAAGTGAGTTTGTTAAATGGAGGGATTTTCCACCAGGAATTACCTTACTAGGATCCAGCTGTTATTCCTGATGGGTATATCGAGAGCCCTAAACTTTGAATTCAATTCCAGCTAACCCCAGATTCTGTTCTTTAGCTGCAGTCAAGCCTTAGCGAATCAGGAACCATTTCTATTATCTTCACTTAGACAGAAGAGAGCCAATGTTCTCCAGGATGTGAGGCTGCTCTAAGATTTAAGTAGTGGTGCCAGATAGATTAGCAGTCATTTCCTAGCTGATCCTTTTTTTGTGTATGGGATAGGGTGTGGTGAGAAGGAATGTGTAACTTGAGTTGGTTTCCTTAGTATTAGCTAACAAAGTGAAAGGTAGGGCCTGTTACATAATATTGGAGCACCCAATTTTATACCGTCGCTCGTGTCTTTTGCTGAGTATACGGCTGATATTCAGTAACCCTGAGTAGTGAAGGACACCGGAGAGTATTACTTTTATACCATTTTATACACCCTCAGCTTATAAAAAAAACTTTTAAACTAAGAGCAAAGTGTTTGGTTGTGCTTTATATACATGGAAGTAGGAGGGTTTTTTTATTACCTCTGTACTCCTACTGCTCCTATTTTAAGAATTTTTATGTGATCACGTGCATTCCAAACAGCTGAGGTGGCTTACAGCCCACTTTACCAGTGTTAGCACTTGTATTCATGCCCCAGATGGCTTCCCTAAGTCCTTTCAGCATCTTTGCTGAGTATTTTAATCCATCCCCTTTTGAAAATTGGCACTTGCCTCTTGAAAGCTAATATTTGAGAGTGGACTTGGGCTCGCTGTAGAGTCACTCCTGTCAGATAGAATTAGCAGGTCACAGTCCAAGTTATCGTGAGTACTGACTAATAGCACCATACTTGCAGCATAGGAAATAATATATAAAAACCATGGCCATATTTACAAGTTCATGTTCATTCTCTTATTACAAGGATAGCAATGAATGATATTTTGGCACATGTTGTCCAGGACATTTTCAGGTGCCATTTAAGGATCTCATAAATAGATGAGCATTTCTTGCAAGATTTTGCTTGTGACCACCAGTGGTGTAGTAAAACAAAGTACAGAAAATCTGCAAAACATCTAGAATTCTTTCTAGCCCTTTTACCAGCAGTGAAGGGGATGCTTAATTCTTTTTCCTTATGCACGGTAAATTAATGTGTTCTCTGTGGTGTTTCTGCTTTCCCTTCTACATTGCGTTTGTCTTTGTGCACTGGGAAACAAGGGGCAAGCTGCATAGGATTTGCTCTCAAACACATAATGGTGACCTTATTTTGTGAATCACCAAATTCTGAGTCAACTGCCTAACTTCCGTAGAGTTGCATGGGAGGGATGTTTTTCTTTGCAATTCCTGATCAGAACAGTCCTCTTTTTAAACTCAGCTTTTCTTTTGCTGGGCTTCTTCCTTTACCTCAAATTTGCTCCCATTCTGTTCTGTTTTTGGAGAGTTATCCTACAGATGGCATCTTTAGCCCCTTCATGTGGTTTCTAGCATTCCATTAAGGTGGAAACAATAAAAAGGCAATGCCAGCTTGAAGAGCACACTTTGAATTCCATATTGCAGTCTTAGCCCCCCCCCCAATGTCCAAAGAATGAGATTCATGGTGATGACCCTTTTAATAACAACTGAACATGGTTTTCCTGGGTTTTCCCCCCCCCCTTTCATTTACCTAAAGCTCCAGTAGGTGTACCTAAGCAGTTACAGCCAGTCATTATAACACGGTTTTTCAAACTTAACTTTTAAAATGACTTCAACTCCCAGAATTCCACAGCCCGCATGCTTTGGGAAGTCTTTCATGCTGGATGACTGAACTTGGAACATCTGTAGTCTGTGGAAAGAAAAATCTGTTCTATCTGACCTGCTCCTGTTCCCTGGATAATTGGCATTGTGTGTTTTTTTTTCCCTCCTGTCTTTCTAGGCCTTCAAAAGCGCTCTGCTGAAAAGTGCCACATAATCCGACACTTTGAAAACGTGTTTATTGTTGAAACCAAGTTCTGTCAGCAATGAATAGGTTGGGTGGAAAATGACAATCACGCATCTCCATTAAAACTCCAAGCTTTACACCTTCAGTTTCAGAATTAAATGTGCAGTGATAATCAAAAGCCTTATGTTTCCTTTTCTGTGAATTGCTTAGATGAAAAGAAAAAAAAAACCCTTTAAATCCACAATAGGCTTTTTGAAACTTGTGGTGCTGCTAATTTTTCCAGCTCCTTCAATTTTGAATAGTAACATTTCAAAATGGATTATTCTCTTAAAGACATCTATATGTCTGTTTTAGACTGAAGAAACAAGTTGAAATCCAAATACCAGTTCCTCCATAAACATGTAATCGAATCATTACTTGACTCTCTCACAAAAACTTAATACATTAATCTCTAGTTTGCACATTAGTTTCTAGCTTCATAAAAATGTTCTGCACTTGGTTTTCCACTAAGGAAACAAAAAAAAAAAGACACATCAACATTTTAAGGGTTTTATTTAAACTTCATTTGTGAAGCATGTAACTTTAACCTTGATAATCATAAGCAGCTAACATTGCTTTTTTTTTCATTTTGTGCAATTACTGTATTAAATATGTATGTATATTTGGAGCCTATCTTGAACTGACTTTACTACTTTTAATTCCTCCCTTCTGTTCGTTGTGATATTTAGTTGTATAGCTAAGCACATTTATTCTTAAAAGCTTTTACATTGGTATTTTGGGTTACTGGACCTACTTCTTAACATCCTAGATCCAAATATATGTGATTAATATTTGTATTAGGTCCAGTTTTCAGTGTTTCCATAGCTATAAAATTCCTATCTTGTGAAATTTCTAGAGCAGGCCTTAACGAGCAAGTTACCACTATTACTGCAGAGAGCTTATCCTTGTTTGGGATTGTGGTCTGAGTTGGTAAAGGGATTTCTAGAGAGCTGCAAACCGAGTATTTTATAAGGGACTTTATATTTCACACAGATTGTGGCAATCCTCTAATAAATGTTTCTCTTAAGATGATGGTGGTGGCTTCCATTTTGTTCTGACTGCGAAAGAAATTGGGGAAAGGGCAGACTTAACGAGGTTTATGAACTGCATAGCCTTGCCGCAGGTCTCAGATTTTTTTCATGTCCATTTCAACTTCGGTGGGAGTCCAGAAGCCCCCGAATGGATGAGCTGGTGCAGAGGAGTAAAACCTCTCGTCATTAAGTATTAGATTTCCTTGCCTTTTCGGTTGGTTAAAAAAATTAAGCTACCAGTGTATAGTTCAAGAAGAAAAGCGTGCCTTTGTGATTTGTACAATATATGTTGCAGAATTCAGTTTTCTGTTGCTATGATTTGGTTAGCCGTAAACCCTCTCCAGTGGATTTGCGTCATCATCTCCTTTCTTGAATACCAATGCAAAATCCTCCAGGCCAGCTTAGTCACAACGGAGCGTGCGAGTTCGCTAAGCTTTAAGCTTTCATTTGGCCCTTTAAAAAGATGTTAATGCAACTCCAGATGGCACTTCTTGGTAGTGAGGGAGTTAAATGTCGTATTTTTGTTCCATAGTGCCTGTTTTGTTGTGTAGAACCGATAAACAACTGTTCACCAGTTGGGACCTTTTCTGATCTGGTTCCAGGAAAGAGGATAAAGCAGTTCAGTTTGATTTAGTATTAATTTGCTTAATAGTTCATGTACTTTCCCCCATGCAAGTGCACAGCTTTTTGTTGTAGTAATCATAATTTGAGGCCACTTTTGAAGGGGAGCAGCCAGGGCCTCCCAAGAAGTAATTGTGGGTTATGAACTGCTGCCTGTAACTTTTTCTGCAAGCAATAATTCAGGTGGGGTGGAATTAAATTTGGGGTTTGCCTCCACCATTCCAGGGGATTTTTTCAGTCCATGGATGGGAGACCACGGTGACCTTGTGCTGCTGCAGGTAAATGGTTTCTGAATCAATTACATTGTCATTTTTTTTTCTAGGACTTACAACTGCAGAGGAGTAATCTGGGCAGTGCTCTTGCTGGAATTTGCCTGCTCAGCATGTCATTCACATGCTTTTATCATTTAAGTATAATTTTCCTCCTGGCCCAACATTCAAGTAGGGAAAAAAATCCCGTCTTCCCACTAGGTGGCAGTGTTGGCAAATCAAAAGGAAATCAGTTCTGTGTTCAATGAACATAGTTGAGTTGTGTTCACTGGGGGGGGGGGGGTCCAGTAAGTGTGGCAGGGTGTAAATGCAAAAAAACAGTTTGCATAAAGGCAAGCAATCTTGAGAAGGCAGGAGTAGCAGATGTCCATCTCCACATAATACAGGTGGTCCTCAACAACCTTTCACTTAGTGACTGAAGCTATAACAGCATTAAAAAAAAGTGACATAACTGCTTTTCACACTTAAAACTATAGCAACCTTCCTTGTCACATGCCTAAAATTCAGATGCCTGGCAACTGGCATGCATTTATGACTGTTGCAGTGTCCTGGGGTCATGTGATCACCTTTTGCCGCCTTCTGACAAAGTCGATGGGGAAGGCAGATTCACTTTACAATCGTGTTACTAATTTGAGAATTGCAAAGGATTCAGTTAACAACTCTGGCAAGAAAGCTGGCAAAACTCATGTAACAAATGGGGCAAAATGACTATCTTGCTTAGCAACAAAAATTTTGAACTCAACTGGTCGTAAGTTGGACCTGGTGGGCCCACCCCACCACCACTGCCTATCCTTGAGACGATAACATAACAAAAAATAAATTCAACTCTTTAATAGAGCTAGTGCGCTGAGATAAAAGAGCTGGTTTGGTCTAGTCCAGGGGTAGGCAACCTTGGCTCTTTTATGACTCGTGGACTTCAACTTCCAGAATTCCTGAGTCAGCTATGGTGGCTGAGTCATAAAAGAGCCAAGGTTGCCTACCCCTGGTCTAGTGGTTAAGGCATCGGGCCAGAGACCAGTAAAACGATCCTAGTCCTGTTTTTGGCATGACGGCTGGCTGGGTGACTGTGAGTCAGTTCCTCCCTCTGCACAGCCCAGCTGTGAAGAAAATAGGAGGCGGAAGTTGTATTAGATATGTTCATTGCCCTGAGTTATTTATGAAAAAGGATTTTTTAAAAAAACAAACTTCTCAAATGGTCCAAAAATCTGGCTAGACCTTTTGGTGATGTAATTCAACGGAAGGCCGTTGAAAGTGTGGGAAGCAGAATTGCAGCTCCATCAGAGGATCAGTTCAAATAACCACACTTGGTTTGATCTAAAAAGAAGTGAGGGACTAAGACGGGGGTAGGCAACCTTGGCTCTTTTATGACTCGTGGACGTCAACTCCCAGAATTCCTGAGCCAGCCGTGCTGAGGGGAAAGGGAGAGGTTTCCAAGGTGAGCCATGCTGGTTCAGGAATTCTGGGAATTGAAGTCCACGAGTCATAAAAGAGCCAAGGTTGCCTACCCCTGGACTAAGAGAAACAGATCTCTGTAGCTTCTTCATCAGAGTCCCAAAGCAGCTGTTGCTAGAACGAAAGAGGAGTCCTTTCTTCCCTGACCCTTCAGCCATTCGCCCAGTGCAAAAAAAATAGTTGGTTCACCAGCTCCAAAACTCTGTGGCTTCTTTAATAGGTTAAAAGAGAATCCCTCAGAGCCAAAGCTCAAACCTGCAGTTAGCAATCCTGACTTGCATGTTGGTTATTGATGCATGTCAGTCATGTAAAAATAAAGTGATTCCCTTCTGGTCTGCTTTCTCATTTTTGCACCCATTTTAGATCAGCCAGTTGGCAAGAACAGGAGACGTAGTTCTGCATAGCTAGAGGGCACCGCTCATGGACCATCCCAATATCTTTCAAAAGGCAAGCTGTCTTAACAGGTTTCTTTCTAGGAAAAAGCACATCCTTGATTTAAGAAGTGTCAAATCCGGGGGTTAATTAAATCTTGAAATACGTTGCCCCATTGATACGTTGTCATTGTTAGATATTCCCCTATCTAGTTTCCTTAATATGGATGCCATGGGGTTGATATTAGTAGTAGTACCATTAGTTCAAGTATGAAATCATTTTTATGCAATTGTTTTGAGGGTCAATGAGCAATCTGATAAATTCATAAAGGGGTTTGAGTTGAAGAGTTTGAGGAACCCTGCCCCAAGTACTTTTAAAAACCCTAAATTTATGCAGTAACTAGCGCCTTGACTATTGTAACAGTAAACAAAGGTCAAACAACACTATTACTGGGCTGAATAATAATTCAAAATAAACAACGTTGATCATCAATGGTCCTCTGCATTTTACCTAGCTGAATTGACCGGTTTCTTTACAAAATAAGGTACAAAGTTGCTTTCTGTTCTCGTGCAGCTGCTTTTTCACCACGAAAGCTACACAAACAAGCCTTGTTTTTCTTTTTCTGATTGAGATGTTTGCAAGAACAAAAAAGGGGAAATCTGTACTAAACCTTCCAAAGGTGCACAAAAGATTCTGCAGTGGCAGTCAAGTATATCTGAATGGTAAGCAATAGCCTGCTCAGTGGTTTACACCCCCCAAAATGGCTCCAGGCTCACTTAAAAAGCTGAAATGAAAATAACTTGTATCTTCTGGTACAGCCAAAATTTTTGCACATGAACGCCTGGTGTCTGTGAATGAAATTTCTACAGCTTTGCAAAAAAATTTGGAGACGAGTGAGGATTAAACATCCTGTCAAAACAGCCCAGGATCATCTGACACTTTACGGTAAGTCATTTTGATTTTGCGTATTTAGTTTCAACAAGAATACGCTTCTGTTCTACTTCCTCCGAGAAGTGCAGATTGAACATTCACATCTTCGTTACCCACTCAAAGATACCTTTTTGACACGTTGGGGGTGTTAGGAGATATTTTGAGGGGAGACGTTGCCTTGACGATCTCTTGTTAACTGCATCCCTCAGCAGGTCAATGACTGAGTTCATGGGCATTGCAGGGAGAAATGGGTTGCACAGTCCAGGTGGTTTCTGTTATACTGCCAACCAATTGGCTGGCACGACAGCTTAAAATCACTTATTTCCGTTGCTACGTGAGACATTTGTTAAGTGAATTTTGTCCCGGTTGACGACCTTTCCTGCCACACTTGTTAAGTGAATCAGTGCAGTTGTTCAGTTAGAGACACAGCTGTTAAGTGAATCTGGCTTCCCCATTGAGTTTGCTTCCCCATTGAAGGTCGCCAAAGGGGATCACGTGATCCCAGGGCACTGCAACCGTCATAAATATGAATCGGTTGCCAAGCGTCTGGAATTTTGATCACATGACCAGGGGGATGCTGCAATGGTTATAAGCGTGAAAAATAGTCATAGGTCAACTTTTTTTCCAGTGCCGTTGTAACTTTGAACGGTCACAAAATGAACTGTTGTAAGTTGAGGACTGCCTGTACGCCCAGCTTGAAGTACTGGATTTCTTCAGCCGAGTGGCCACTTTTTAGCCACATTATGGGCAGTCCTTGCTTAATCACCAAAATTCATTCAAAGGTATGACAGAGACGCCCTCCTGCCCTCTCAAGGTACTTACAGTCCATTCTCGACCTTATGCTGGTCTCACACACAACCCATGAGCATATAATCATATTCTGGGCACTTGGCAAGCAGTTCACCTTAGCAATGGCACCGCAGAGGCAAAGAGGGAAGTTGTAAGAAGCAAAAACAAACTAGCGTCCGGTTAATAAATCTTGTTAGTAGCAGTACCACTTAGACTTCTACGCTGCTTCACAGAGCTTTACAGCCCTCTGTAAGCGGGTTACAAAATCAGCCTCTTGCCCTCAACAATCTGGGTCTTCACTTTAGCGACCTCGGAAGGATGAAAAGCTGAGTCAACCTTGAGCCGGTTAGAATCGAACTGCTGGCTGTGGGCAGAGTCAGCCTGCAATGCTGCATTCCAACCACTGCTTCACCAGGGCTGCTCTCCGGACCATTTATGTTTCCCACAATCAGATGATCATAATTTTCAACATTTTTTTTTTGTATTTTTCTGCCTTTACTTTTGCTTTCTGGCAAAAAACAAAAACACCCCTTGGATAAAATGGATTTGCTTAACAATTGACACCCAAATAGTAATAAAATGACATGTCCTGCTTAACAACTGCAACAACTTCACGGCCGTGATTCCAGGCTGAATTGCAATCATAAGCTGAGGATCATCTGTACTTTTGCTTGACTTGGGGGGGGGGGCGTCTTTTTAAGGACAGGAACAGACGTGTAAATCCTCGTAGACAAAACACTGCAATTCCCTCCCTTTTAACCTTCAGACCAAGGGGAAACAACCCCCCTCCCCAATGAATTATCCCATCTGAGATCCAGTTGAAGTTGCAAACCCTAATCCACAAACAGTGATCACTAGCCCCTGCCAACCCAACAAAGAGAAGTCATTTTAGTGTGTGTAGTGGTACAGATGGTGGCTGAGCCTTCTCAACAGAGCTGAATCGGGGTCAGCTTCCCATGCCAAGACAGTGGGAAACGTCCCGTGTTCTCAATTGAGCCGCTGGACTGAAAATGAATTAAACACACGTCCCTGCCTGAAATTGGATAATGGCGGATAATGGACTGAAAAAAAGCACAGGTTTCCGGTTAAACCTGAGGAAAGAGCGTTTAGTCCGTGGACCGGTAATGGGCCGCTGCATGCCAGCAACTGGTCCGCACAAACAAGCAAAGCACCATCCGTGGGATGCAGACCGCACACTCTCCGGTCTGTGGAAAAACCTTTTTCCACGGAAGCGGTCCCTGGTGCCCAAAAGGTTGGGGACCTCTGATCTAGTCAGCATTGATAGATCTGGGAAGCTAAGCAAGCTTAACCTTGGTTACATGTACACAAGACAGCGAGCCAACCCCGATTTTATGATCTTTTTTGCCCTGTTGTTAAGTGATCCGTTGTTAAGCTTAACACTGCAGTTAAGCTTAACATGCACTTAACACTGGTTAAGTGAATCTTGTGGCCATTAAGCAAATCCAATTTCCCGCATTGGCTTGTTGGAAAGCCCGCTGGGAAAGTTGAAAATGACAATTACTTGACGTTGGGGGACACTTGCAACTGTTGTATACGTGATGGTGGCCAAGTGCCAGAATTTTCATCATATGATCCTGGGTTATTGCAGTGGTTCTAAATGTGAGGGTTGCTTGTAAGCCACTTTTATTTCAGTGCTGTTGTAACTTGAAATGGTGTCTAAATGAATAGTGGTAAGTAGAGGGCTACCTGGATGGGAGATCTTTAGGGAGTGATGATCCCTCAGGTACTCCGGTCACAAGCCGTGTATTATTAACCATAATCCATGGTTAAATGTAACCACCAATACCTTGAATTGCACCCGGAAGCACACCAGTAACCAATGCAACGCATGCAGAAGTGGTATTACACGTGCCGTGTGTCTGGCACCACCGAAGTACATTCAAAATGGTTGCACGCTCCTCACAAGTGGTACAATTTTAACATGGTTGTGGGTGGGCATTTAAATTACACTGGAAAACAACTATTAAATAGAGTCATTGACAACAACAAAGTGGCTCACAATGAGATACTTCTAGAGGAGAGAATCATAGCTGAATTCACATTAATTTGCATACCCAGTTAACAGAATACAATTACCTAAGCCACATTTAAAATTTCCATCACACGTTAAATGCTGTGCTGTGCATGCTGTGCAAACGACTATGACATACAAATGAATAACTTTCTGAGACAAATCTCAAATTATGCAAAGCTTTCTGGAACAAACTGGTTACACAGGTCGGGGATGTGTCAGTAACAGCTTAAAATTAATGATGCCTTACTTCACACACAATATTAAACCAGTGGCCACGTTCCCCAACACAAGGATATCCCATGCTACCTGATCCAATATAATTGAAGATGCTAGACAAACTCAACCAATTAGAATGAAAAGATTGTTACAAGCAAGAACTTAGATGGCTTTCAATATTTGAGGGGCTGCCCCAAAGAAGAGGGGGTCAAGCTATTCTCCAAAGCACCTGAAGGCAGGACAAGAAGCAACAGATGGAAACTAACCAAAGAGAGAAGCAACCTGGAGCTAAGGAGGAATTTCCTGACAGAACAATTAATAAGTGGCTTGCCATGTTGCTTGGGCAAATAAAACGAGATTCTCACAAAGATGAATAACATTGAGATCTTTGATATTCTCTCTTCCTCTTGCCAAATGACCAAGGAACACAGAAACCACAAGTAAGGACACCTTCATAGGTGTCTCGTAGAAGAAATGGCCTCTTTTTCAGACACAGCATATCTCACACGAGTGCCTGGTAGCAACATGTGCCGTCTCAGTTTGGTTTCCTGCCTTCACAGCATCAGCCTTGGCACATTTGATCTCTCTGTTTCCTATTGCAGTTATTTCTTGTCACTGTTCCTTTGAGTTGTGGTTTCCATGCACCTGACACGATGGTGAGAAAGACAGGTTAGTTGTCAGCAGAACGAGATGAGAATTATCGGTCACATCTAGAACTGGTGGGAGGTGGGTTTTTGGGTGTTTTTTTAAAAGTTTGTTCCATCTGGAAATAAAATTGAAAGTGGGTGTGGAGTAAAGGTGAATAGAGCTTTGTTGGTTCTGAATTAATTTTATAACGATTCAACAATATTATTTCTTTCAAATGCAGCCTTTAATAAAACAACTGCAGCCCTTAGTAAAACAACTGTGTCCAATAAAAAAAAAAAATGACAAGTGTGGAATCAGCAAAGGGGTTGCAAGACAGACCCTTACTCTCCTCGACATGGAAGTAAAATCTAGTTGTAAGTTGACTTTTGCTTGCTGAAAGGGATTAGAGCACCCTAAAAAAAAACCTTGAGTTACTTTCAACATTTTAAAGAGTACAACTATTTTATCCTGCTTTCCACAAGTTAAGTGCTTTGTAGAAAGTTGCATGAATTTCCCAGTCGGTTTTGTTGTTGCTGAGAATTCTGGGAGAATGAAGAGAGCATCTAGGGAGCATCCAGGTTTGAGTAGTATTTTAAGTTGCCCATCTGACATTTAAATATTGCTAAACTGTGCCTGTGAAAGGAAAGGAAACCGTGCTCAGAACGTGTGTGTGTGTGTGTGTGTGTGTGTGTGTGTGTGTATGCAGGAAGTTTTTCAGACAGATGTCTAATTGATTACTAATTGATTAAATCACTGCCTACCATGTAAACTGCCCAGGTTTGAATCTCATAAAGGGTGTGGCTAACTGAAGAGAGCAGAATGAGCTCGAAATGGCCATCTTAGTCTCCCAATTTAATTCTTTAATACTTTACATACACACACGTTATCATATACATCAAATTTATTAAAGTACAAAAATGGATTTTATAAATTATTTCGGAGACATTTAAATTAACAGCTCACAGTACTATGGGCATTAATAAAATAAAATTAAAGCTCTAGAAAAACAGTGTGCGTTACTTCATACCTCTGATGAAGAGAGAGATCAAGAAACATATATTTTCTCTCTTTTCATCTCTGTCTCTTTTCTATCTCACATGCAACTATCCCTCAAGAAGATTTAGCCTTATAATAATGTGAGTGATTTAATGTCAATGAGGTATAAACTATGAGAATGCTGTCAAAGGAGGAAGGCAGGAGTGAGCTGTTACCAAGAGTTTTGGACTAGAGATTACACAAGCCAGAAATAGAAAAAAGAATGAGAAACAAATTCAAAGTAAACTCTTGACTTTCTTTAGTAACAAATGGGACAGAGAGAAACTTGGACAGTCTTTCAAGATTGATGAGAACCCTTTGAGATAACTAATCTAGATTGAGGAATAGATCTAGCAAGGATTCCTAGAATCCTAGTTTATTGTTATAGGGTATCATAACAGAATGTTGAAAGTCTATCCAAAGTGTCTCTCTATTCCATGTTAAACTAAATAAGACAGCATTATTTTGAGTTTTATCCCCAAAATATCTTCTATGCATGGATTGTGAATTTCCTTCTCAGTGGTTCACTTCTTCCATTCTTCCTTTCACAGTTTCTCTAGACTACTTGACATAGTAATGGTCAATATCTATATTGAAGACAAGCTACAGTAAATCTTTTCCAAAGTGATCATGGCATCAAAAAAACAACAACCCCATAATATGAGTTTCCTATCAATCACCCAACTATACTTATTTCGGATGGCTCCTTTGCACGTCCACAGTGCATGTTATGAAATTGAATACTGTCCTGTAAATCTTGCCTTGAAAGCCTCCTTCGAAACTCATCTGTAGTAAAGTAATAAATTATAGGGTCGAGACATGAATTTAAACTGGCAAGGCACAAGGCAATTGCGTGGAAGACCAAAATAACCTTTCGGGCATAGGAATCTTCTATCGTTTGGGACTTGACCAAGTAATTCAAAGGGAAGCTGATGTGATAAGGACCAAAGCAAATTAAAAAGACAATGGCACAAGTCAGGATCATCTTTAAGGCTTTCTGCTTCTCCCCAAGGTCTTGGGAAACAGAATTCTTTTCTTGGAGAGATAAGATGGTCTTCCAGGAACAATACAAGATGATCAACAGTGGGGTTACAAAGCCAACCAGCTCACCTAGGGACATCATTGCTATTGAGATAGGTTCATCTGCAGTCTTCAAGGGCAGGTCCACAAAACATTTATCGTCGGCACAAGTCTCGTTGGAGGTGAGTCGTAGAAGGGGAAAAGGTAAGCAGCCCACACAAACCACAACCCATCCAACGATGCAGATGTACATGTCGTAGATGCGTTTGCAGTCACTGAACTTCAAAGGGTGCATGAGGAACTGAAATCTCCGCACACTGATGCAAACCAAAAAGTAAATACTTGCATACATGTTGACGTACTTGAGGTAGAAGCAGAACATGCAAAGTTCCTTCCCCAGGTGCCAACTTTTAGACAGGTAATAAAAAATCCTTAGTGGCAACGATAACACTTGAGCCAAATCTGCAATTGCAAGATTAATCATGAAAATCACGGCCCGTTTAGTTTCTTTCATGTATCCATAAAAGACCCAGAGAGCCAAAACATTCCCAATCAACCCAGGAACCAGGATGATTGTGTACATGATGGCATAGAAATGTTTCAAAAACTCATCTTCATTGTAGTTTGAGTCATTGGTTGCCATGGTTTTCCTTGTGGAATATGGAGTGGCTTGGAGTTATGTAAAGGAATTAACAGAAATTGTTGCTATCTTGAATTCTCAGGGAAGGACGTGAAAAGGCTATAACATGAGCTGAGGCACTACGTATGTAAAATCTGAATATTTTGGTTTTGTTGCATCATTTTTTCTTTCTCAAACTTGCAAAAACAGATGTTGTTGCTGCAGTTTCTTTGTAGGAGGATCAATTTTTTTAAAAAAGAAAAACCCAGAATCTTTAGGATCTTTTTGCTTCTCTAATTCTTCTATGCTTATCTTCGGATCCTCCTTCAGCTTTCTTCATTGTGTTGTTGAGTTTTGCCTAAAATAAGCTTGTTTTTGATTATGGCATGCGTTTGATTTTTGAAGCAACTTTATCACACTCTCTTGAGTCCTCTTTCTCAAGTCTTGAGTAAAGGAAAGAAAAATAAATCCCAAAGGTACGATGTCGATAAGAGGCAAGGAGAATCAAGTGTCATCCGAGACATCACAGCCACCACCTGTGCGAGGAGCTTCTGTTCCTTTTCAACTTCCATACCAAAAAGAAGGACTTTTATAGCTGTTATTCTGCAATACAGCAGAGCTGATCACCTGCAACTAAAGGAAATACAAATAAGATTTTGTGTGGTCTTATGCAAGGCAAGAATGTCTCAAAGTTGATTTGATTATAGGTTCCATCAACCAACTCATCTCTCCTCTGTTGGATACATTAGAGAAAGAGTTGGAACCTCAAGGTCCTTCCCATTGGCAGAGCTTACACCAATGGCTACTTGATCTCCCATTCTAGCCTTGCCTTCATCAGCAGATATTCTACCTGCCTGGTTCAGAAAGAAAGATGAGAAAATAAAGCTGCTTCTATTGAGGTTGGGATTGCTTTGGAAGTCATTGTAGAGAGGAATCTAGATGTCTTAATGGACAACCACTTAAGTATGAGCCAGCAGTGGCCAACACACTCTTAGGCTGCATTAACAAGGGTAGCATGAAGATTACAAGAAATGATAGTGCCACTCTATACTACACTAGTGAAACCACATTTGGAACACTGCCTACAGTTCTGGTCACCACGACACAAAAAAGATCTGCTCTCCAAAGCACCTGAAGGCAGGACAGGAAGCGATGGGTGGAAGCTTGTTAAAGAGAGAACCCACTTGGAAAGAGAAGGAATTTCTTGATTAATCAATGGAAGAGCTTGCCTTCCAGAGTTCTGGGTATTCCATCGCTGGAGGTTTTAAAGAAAAGATTGGACAACCATTTGTCCGAGATGGTATAAGGACTCCTGCCTTGGGTAGGGAGTTGGACGGAGAAGACCTCCATGGTCCCTTCCAGTCCTATGATTCTAAAACAGTGGTTCTCAACCTGTGGGTTGGGACCCCATTTGGGGTCGAATGACTGTTTCACGGGGGTCGCCAAACAACACAGTCCACCATTTTTCCCCCCCTTTCCTTAGCTGTGCTACTTCCTTTTATTCTATTGGCTTTTGAAAGCCAATAGAATAGACTCTCTCGAATAGAATCTAATTCTATTGGTTTTCAAAAGCCAATAGGAATTGTCCAGGCTGTCTCTGCCCTGCTGAGCCCGCCAAAAGTCCTATTCTGCAAACGGTGCTGCACCAGTTGAGTAGTCCTCGACTTGCGACCGGTTGGGGGTCGCGGCATTAAAAAGGTTGAGAACCACTGTTCTAAAAGCATCCAATACAATAGCAAGTGCATCATGGCTGGCACAGATCATATAATACTTGCCATTTGAATGATGACACATGAGGTTCTTGGCCCCCCCCCAGAAATAAATATGTCCCATTCTCAAAACTATTTTGCAGTTTCTATTCCTCTTGGTCAAAATGCATTATCATCAACAACAACAACAACATCTAGTAGTATAAAAAAATACTTCATAAACAAAAATGTTTTATAGACAAATAGGTCTTATTTCACTTTTTCAAGACTGCTAAGCCAGTCCAGCTATATTTTGAGAGTTGTCTGTTCTAAAAGCCGGTAATTTCTTGAGTCTATTTCTTTAAGTCCCTGATGGTACATGAAAAAAATTGATTTAGCAAATTTGTAACAGATGCACTCCTCTTATTTTCATTAGGTATCTTACAGTAGGATTAATAGTAAAAATCACTATTTCTTAATTGTTTTGTGCTGCCTATTCCTCTATTCGTTGGAATCTACTTTAATACATAGTAGATTTGTTGAGAAGTAGAATCATTTCACTGCGTTATTTTAGAATTCCTTCCCTCCCCAATGATGTTATTAGACATCATTATATTTGATTAGGAGCAGTCTGTTTCCTCTGAAAGTTGAATGAAAGTATGACTTCCATTACAGAAACATAACTTCTGAGATTGTGATAGAACTGCAGGGAAGCGTCTCCATCTATCTCATCAATCGATCGTGTACAAGGTGAACATAATCTTGCTGTATTTCTTACTCTGCTTTATCGTGGGAGTCAGAATACATACTCTGTCAAGTGTTTCATAGCGTATTCTAGTGTCATTATTAACAAAAGCTTTTAAATGTCTACTTTTCAGGTGGCTTTGATTGTGATAGATGAAGACCATTACTTAATGTTCAGTGGTTTGAGGAAAAACATTAAGTCGATGGCCTTTCCAAGCCTTCTGTCACAGTTAGCTGAGCCATAGTATAATCCTCTAATATAAATAGTTAAGATTTGATTCCCCCTCTGAAGATTGTTCAGTGATGAATTAAAATGCAAGATGCTATATCTCATAGTATCCTACTAAATCATTTCCCCTAATAGCGTGCCTTTCAAACATGCTGTTAACCGCTAGTTGACAGGTCTGAAAACATAGTTTCACACCGTTGGAGAGACTCAACATGAAGAAAACTGGCATAAGGAGTGTCTCCTCGATCTCAATTGGTAGGAACGATATAAAGCAGCAGAAAGGTTACACCCCATTGCATTATACAAGTCTATAATTTTAAGTGTAAAGAAATGGGGTATAATCTTTCTGCTAATTTGTCACATCACCACCCCCAGGCACACAATGTTGTACAAATCAGCTATATTCACATCATTTGCAAAGCACTAAACATAGGTTAAGAAAATATAGTTACTGCTTTTATGCCATACATAAAGCCAAACAATAATCATAAGCAACTGGTGCTGGGCAGGGGATGGAGCAAGGGATTGCAAGATTGGCTGGGAAACTGTCATAGAATGTTGAACTAGAGATTACATGACTGTAGCAGCAACGTAGCAGTAGCCAGTAGCACTGAAACAGCCAAATATTATTCCTTAGAGAGTCATGGGTCCTGGACTTTGGACATATTCTGTAAATTAGCTCATTTGAGGTACCTTGGTTCAAAAATTGTTACCTTATGATGCACTGTTTTCCCAGTTGAAGGTGATGTCAATGAGAGTTTTAGCAGCATATAGATCACAATTATTGGGCACTCATTTCATCATTATATCCTCATAACAAGCCTGCTAGTGACTGGACCAATATAACCAAGTGTAAAAAAAAAAATGCAAATGGATGAGCTGATAAGGGGAAAATGACAACTTAGTTTAAAAGGAGCATGAGCAAGAAAATCACAGTCATCTAGACTCTATTCTGTTTGGCATAGAAAATTCGGCAGGCTTCCAAGGTTATGTTCTTCTACCCTACAACAATAAGGTAACTCTCTTGTAACCCTTGTGGTGGTGGTTTCCTGACATGATCTACCTTGAAGGCTAACATCAAGTAAGCTTCATGATTTCATTATAGATTTGAATGTGACAGGGAAATTTCAAAGACATCAGCTGCATTTCCACAGCATGTTCAGTGGGGTGGGTCTGAACTTGGTTACTTTTTCGTGATTTGGTGTTTGTGTGAGCCCAGCTCCTTTGATTCTTTTGATATCCTTAACAATAGATTAGGGATGGCCACCACCTCTTTATTTTAATCCCCCTTCTCTCTAGAACACTGGCAAGAGTTGTTGGATAGAAAGAATGTAATCTTGTGGAACATCTGATCATCTAGTCATGTAGTGAAACATCTGCAGGCCCACAACCCAACTCAATGAGCATCAAAGACTCCATAGTTCAACCCTGAGCTATAAAGATGATCTTGTATTGGATAATTTAAGCTTCTAGCTGATGACCTCCTGACCCTCAGAAGTAACTAAATGCAAACAAACTGGTGTAGTTAACCTACCAGTATTGCCTCAAGTTAAAAAGAAAGATGTGCTTATTTTAGATCCAAAAGAATGGAAAATCCAGGAGCAATTACAAAAAACATCATTTTTATTTATTTTATATTACGCATGTTACACAGCTTTCCTCCAATGCCTATCTTATTACTCTTCCAATCCCTCTTCCATTTTCCTCCTATTTAAAGGGTACCAATTAATCTTTCACTTGCTTGCCATTGGGCATTACAGACCTTTTACTGTAGAAGCTCTTAATATTCTGCCACATGTTGTCTAAGCCTTGTTGCCAAATAGATATTGATATTTTGCTCATTAGAATAAAAACGGAGAGACTGGAAGAGTTTGGCAAGAAAAGAGAGAAAAGAAAGGGAGGGGGAAAAAAACCAAAAGAACCTTCAGCTAATAAAGGGGAATATTTGTAACTCAGGGTTGACATGAGGGCTCCTTGGTGCTCTCTGAGCTTGGTGGTTTTCTTGCAGACGTTTCATTACCCAAACTAGGTAACATCATCAGTGCTAGAAGCGGGTGGTGTTTATGGAGAGGAGGAGGAGGAGGTGGAGGAAGACTGTAGGGTATTTGGTGCTCTCTAAGCTTGGTTGTTTTCTTGCAGATGTTTCATGACCCAACTAGGTAATATCATCAGTGCTAGAAGAGGGTGGTGTTTATGGAGAAGAGGAGGGAGGAGGAGGTGGAGGAGGAGAACTGTGGGGTATTTGGTGCTCTATGAGCTTGGCTGTTTTCTTGCAGATGTTTCATGACCCAACTAGGTAACATCATCAGTGCTAGATGGGAGTGGGAATTGTGGCAAGGAGGAGGAGGAGGAGGAGGAGGAGGGCTTGCTGTCATTTGATATTCAAGTGGCTTGCCTGTCTGTGCTGGTGGGGGTGGTTTTTGAGATTCTTTGTCTAGGCTTCTGCTGTTGATTTTTTGGCAATTTCTTGATTGGGGTATTGTTTAATTGATTGCTGGTCTGATGTTAACCTTGGAGTTAATCTAGGCTGATCTGGGTGCTGCCCATAAAGGAACAAAAAGACCGCAGCACCTCCCCACCAGTAATCAGCACCCAGATCAGCATAGGCCAGGGATAGGCAACCTGGGCTCTTTTATGACTCGTGGACTTCAGCTCCCAGAATTCCTGAGCCAGCTACACTGAAGAGAAAGGGAGAGGTTTCCAAGTTGAGCCATGCTGGTTCAGGAATTCTGGAAGTTGAAGTCCACGAGTCATAAAAGAGCCAAGATTGCCTATCCCTGGCATAGACTAACTCAAAGGTTAACATCAGACCAACAATGCCCCAATCAAGAAACTGCCAATGAAGCCAACAGCAAATAGCCCAACCAAAGAATCTCTAAGACCACCCACACCAACACTGATAGGCAAGCCACTAGAATATAAACTGATTGCAAACTGCATTCCGTACTGATGATGTTACCTACTTTGGTAATGAAATGTCTGCAAGAAAACAAGCAAGCTCAGAGAGCACCAAGGAGCCCTCAGAACGTTCATCTATAATTATACAATGGTAGTTTCATCATGACCTTGTTACAGTTTTAAGAGAGATCAAGTTTAATCCAAGGATATTGTGGGCAAACTCATGTTGCCTTTCATAGATACACAACAGTTCCAAATTAAAGAAAAGTGTCTTCGCTTGACTGGGCCAAGAACGTTGGCAAATGTTAGATAAAAGACTCAATAATCTGACCCTAGTTTGTCTTTTGGGGCTGATAGACATACTGTGAATATTGTAAACAGGCTGCAGGTTGCGTTGGCTGGGATTGATTCGTTTATAAAATGTCTTTCTAAGCAGCAGAAGTGTATTTATTCACTTCATGGTGTCTCATCCCAGCAGCAGAACTCCCACAGGTTTCCACAAATACAACTGAAAAACCAGACAATGACACACTTCCCACGGGTAACCATTCTATCACCTCATCTTGTTCCAAAGACTCTATGAGGCAGAATTATTTTGATCTTTTTTCTTAAAGACAAGAGGACAGAAACAAGTTAAATCTCTTGGGAGAGACGATTCCAGAAGCAAAAGGTTACTGTAGAGCAGTGGTTCTCAACCTTTTTAATGCCACGACCCCCACCGGTCATAGGTCGAGGACTACTCAACCGGTCGTAAGTCGAGGACTACTCAACTGGTGCAGCACCGTTTGCAGAATGGGACTTTTGGCAGGCTCAGCAGGGCAGAGACAGCCTGGACAATTCCTATTGGCTTTTGAAAGCCAATAGAATTAGACTCTATTCAAGAGAGTCTATTCTATTGGCTTTCAAAAGCCAATAGAATAAAAGGGAGTAGCACAGCTAAGGAAAAGGGGGAAAAAATGGCGGACTGCGTTGTTTGGCGACCCCCGTGAAATGGTCGTTCGACCCCAAATGGGGTCCCGACCCACAGGTTGAGAACCACTGCTGTAGAGAAAGATTTCTCTATCTCTCCCCCATGTCTTGAATGGAGAGGACCTTAAGTTCTCTTTTCTGGGATGAAGGAACAGCTGTATGCATCAACCGTACCTGAAGGAGACCCATGGAGATAACTGTGACCCAATTTATGAAGGTCTTTACAGGTTTAAACTAGCACTTTATGGCTGGTTGGGAATTTCTGGAAGCATGTATGAGTTTTAAGTCATGATGATGATGATGGAAGGGACCTTGGAGGTCATCTAGTCCAACCCCCTGCTCAGGGGGTCATCTAGTCCAACCCCCTACACCATTTCAGACAAATGGCTGTCCAATCTCGTCTTAAAAACTTCCAGTATTGGAGCATTCACAGCTTCTGGAGGCAAGTAGTTCCACTGGTTAATTGTTCTCACAGTCAGGAAGTTTCTCTTTAGTTGTAGGTTGCTTCTCTCTTTGGTTAGTTTCCATTAAGTCCTCCCATCTTAAGGTGACCAAGATTGATAAACACTGCCTTTACCCAATCCACCATGCAGATAGTCCTGGGGTTACAATCGTTCGTTTACTCACCATTTGAAGTTACAATGGCACTTAAAATAATAACGTACGACTTTTTTTTCACACCTAGGACCGCCGCACCATCCCCTGGGTCACATGATCAAAATTCAGACGCTTGGCAACTGGCTCATATTTACGACCGTGGCAGTGTCCCAGGGTCATATAGCCCCTTTTGCAACTCACTTACAAGGAAAGTCAACGGGGATGGCAGACTCGCTTAGCAACCATGTTAATAACTGCAGTGATGGGCTTAGGAACTGTGGCAAAAAAGGTGGGGCAAAATTCACTTAACAGCTATCTCACTTAGCAGCTGAAATTTTGGACTCAGTTGTCGTCTTTAGTTGAGCACTACCTACAGTTAAAGAAACACCTGCCTGGTGATTCTGGCAGTAGACAGTGGAAATAACCCCCAGTTATGCCAGTACATTATTTTGCAAACTTATGTAGAGAAACTCTGGTGAGAAAAGCACCTTTGGTTACTGGAACATCAAAGGTCAGATCCTGCTTCTCAAGCTAACTTACATCACTAAATTGTTATGGGGATAAAAGGTGGCCTGAAGTTCTAGAAAGTTATATATGTTGTTTCTTTAGTGGAAAACAGATTATAAATGCAGTTAAGAACATAGGGTTAAGACGTGGACTACTGTACAAGAAGCCATTTTAAACATTATGGATGCATCTTTTTTCGCTTTCGACAACTAGACTGATTAAATGCATCTGAAATTCTTGCTTAAACTTAAAGCTGTCCCATTTTTTTCCAATGTGTGGCTCCCAACCAAACTGGGATTGTGCTACTATAATATTTTAAAAAAGTTAGCTGTGCAACCAGTTCTTCAGAATGGAGAGATGGGGTTTTTTTTCTGCTATAATTCTATGGCAAAATTGCAGACAAGTTTAACAAAAAGAATCTCTCTGTGTGTCAATCTTTTTCCAAGTACATGATTTCTTGTCCAAAAGTTAAGTTCCTTTATCAAGTAGGGAAAGCCCTGCGTTTAAGCCAGAGTTAATCGCGGCTTAGAGCAGAATTCATTAATTTCAGAAGATCTCAATTGTCATTTGGACTTAAATAGATCTCTTCTTTTTTCTTCTTCTTCTGTTCAATCATGCCTGCTTCTGACAAACTGCCTGCCTGAATCCTTGCAATTTTCTTGGCAAAGTTTTTCAGAAGTAGTTTGCCATTGTCTCCTTCTTAGGGCTGAGAGAGAGTGACTGGCTCAAGGTCTCCTAGCTGTCTTTGTGCCTAAGACACGACTGAAAGCTCAACATTCTTCTGAATTGTAGTCTTGTGCCTTAATTGCTACATTAAACTGACTTTCAGATTTACTCTAAGCAGGGCTCAGTTGGCAGGTAGCTCCTTACCAATATTTTTAAAGTAATATATGCACGTGTATATACATATACAGAAAGCCAGGAAGCAAATAGCAACTATTCAACAATATTACTTCAATCATTTCTTGCCCTCCGTCATAAATTCAGTTTTTGATCTCTCCAGAAAGAAAGAAAGAAAGAATCCAATTCCTTTGTCTGCAATTTCAGAAAGAGAACACTGTATAAGACAGATGCTTGTATACCTGTACTTACAAGTAGATTTAACTTCCTTTTTTTCCACAAGTGGAGGTGCACTTGTAACTATCTGAGGTGTTTAAATGTATCATAGTCTTGTGGATTTTTTGCAGTTGTGAAATCTTAGACTTTCCCGCCGTGAGTCCCCCCAAAACTTCCCTGATGAACTGTTCCTCTCTTTTATTTTATTTGAATTCCGCTCGCCAAGGTAAACGCTTTGAGGGAAACCCAACGGAGTTTAAGCAAATAGGCTTCCCAACTGCTTACAAGAAACACCTGCCTGCTAGATAACCCACTGCATAAAATGAAAGTCCTACCTTCGCCATTTCTCGCCGGTGCCTTCAATCACACCCTTCACAGTCTCAATGTAAGAACAAAAGTTGATGCTTCGGTGGGTTTTTCCTCCTCTGCTTATTATAGAAAGCAAAACTGCAACTCCTCCTTTCACGCCCGGCCGAACGAGGAGATGAAGAAGCGCGGATGTTCAAAGTGTCAGAGCGAGGCACTCATAAACCTCTGCAGCAGATATATTTTTTCCAGCGTGCGCCTTGTGATGAATACTGAGTGATGAGCAATTTCAGAAAGTAGCATCCAGCAGAACGCACCCCAGGGTTACAGTTCTGCTATAGTGGTGGGGGTCTATATATAGACCACCATTCCCCTCTTTGCGAGCGATCTCACAATAGGAAGAGGGCAGTGGGTCCTGGAGTGACGTGGCACGTAGGCCACGGAGAAGGGCAGACTCGTGTCAATCTTACAGGTAGTCCTCGCCTTATGGCCACAGCTGAGTCCACAATTTCCATTTGCCAAGCAAGACATTTGTTAAGTGAGTTTTACGAGCTCTCTTGCCACAGTTGTTAAGTGAATCACTGCGGTTGTTAAGTCAGTAACAGGGTTGTTAAGTGACTCCGGCTTCTCCATTAGCTTTGCTTGTCAGAAAGTAGCAAAAGGGGATCGCATGACCCCAGGACACTGCGACTGTCATAAAGATGAGTCATTGGCCAAGCATCAGAATCTTGATCACATGACCGTGGGGATGCTGCAAAGGCCGTAACTGTGAAAAAAGGTCATAAGTCACTTTTTCCAGTGTCGAACGGTCACTAAATGAACTGTTATAAATCAAGGTATTGGGTACCTTTTTAGAATCACCTCCAGAGACCATTTAAGGAAGTTGTTCGATGTAACCTTTTAACCAAAAGCTGACTTTTTCTCACCTGCACTAGAATAAACAGTATAGGAAACATATTCATCTCATTTTAATGGGTTTGAGGGGAAAAAATAGGAACCAGGAAACCTCTGCCGTACCGGGACACAGCTGAGTGATTGAAAAGTCTTCCTTAATGCCTAGATTTGCATAGAATGGCAGGCAATGTTATAACAGGATTACATTATCTCTGGCTCAGCTACAGTACAATATGGCTTATTGTTTGGGCCAGTGGTGGCGAACCTATGGCATGGGTGCCAGTGGGGGCACTCAGAGCCCTCTCTGTGGGCACGCGCGCCATCGCCCCAGTCCTACACCTTCAGCTGGGTTTTATAAAACCTTTTCGCTTTAGGCCTCCGCCGCCGTGTACCAAAAAAAAAAAAAAAGGTTCAACCAATCAGTCAATTTCAACTTCTCGCGGGAAAAAAAAGATCTTGCAAAGTTGGAATTGATTGATTGAACTTTTTAGTCCCACCCAGTCTGCCGTTACCACCACAGCCACGCCCACCCAATGGTGCATACCCCCAATTGGCCATACCCAGCCAATAGGCCACACCCACCCAATAGGCCACACCCACCCGGCACTTGGTGATGCATAAGTGGGTTTTGGGTTGCAGTTTGGGCACTCGGTCTCTAAAAGGTTCGCCATCACTTGTTTGGGCACTGCTTACAGTTAATCCTCGACTTACACCTGGTTGTTTACTAACTGTCCGAAGTTACGATGCTGAAAAAAGTGATTTATGACCATTTTTCACACTTACGACCGTTGCAGCATCCCCAGGGCCACGTGATCAAAATCCAGGTGTTTGACAACTGACTCGTCTCTATGACGGTTGCAGCATCCCCGGGGATCATGTGACCCCCTTTTAACAAGCTTCTGATAAGCAAAGTCATCAGGGAACCCAGTTAACAACTGAGTCATTGCAGTGATTCTCTTAACAACCGTGGCAGGTCAGGTCGTAAAATGGAGCAAAACTCACTTAACCGCCTTGCTTAGCAGTGGAATTTGGGGGCTCCGTTGTGGCCGTAAGTCGAGGACCCCCCCCTGTGCTGCAATTCTTTCATTGCAACTTAACACTTTCTAAATCTATTTTTAAAAATCAATTCCAGGGCAAGGTCAAGACTTTATAATGCTTTGAGGTGAAACGGGAGGGCCTGAGTGTTAACTGAGCCTGTAAAAGCTTTTCTTTCCTTCTTGCCAGTTGGCGCCTGGTGACCCCTTAATGCTCCTTAATGAGAATCCTGAGACAGAAAGCAGCTTGGGCTTTTAACTTGTTGGCATGCGGACCTTTCTTCCAATCAGCTTGGAAATGCTGATATCTTGCAGCAATAAAATACTCAAAGGCTGGTTTTGTTCCTTCTCTCTAAACTGGCTCACCTCAGAGGAGGGGCAATTCCCCAGCCGTAGGCCAACGGGGACCTTGGATTTAACTCTGCAAAAATCCAGGGGCAAAACCAACCACGCTAACAATTTACAGAAGAAGAACATATTTGTAATGCAGGGTTGAACCTTGGTGATCTCTGAGCTTGGTTTTTGTTGTTGTTGTTGTAAAACGGGGAGGACGATGACTATGGGATCCTTGCTACTCTTATAGATAGATAGATAGATAGATAGATAGATAGATAGATAGATAGATAGATAGATAGATAGATAGATAGATGGATGGATGGATGGATGGATAGATAGATAGATTTTATTGGGGTTTTTTTTGTATCCGTATGTTAATTTTTCCAATCAACAAGTTGTCTGGAATTAGCTATTCCAGTGATGGCGAACCTTTTAGAGACCGAGTGCCCAAATTGCAACCCAAAACCCACTTACACATTGTCGGGTGCTGGGTGGGTGTGGCCCATTGGGTGGGTGTGGCCCATTGGGTGGGTGTGGCTGCGGTGGTAACGGCAGACTGGGTGGGACTGAAATGTTCAATCAATCAATTCCAACTCTGCGAGATCTTTTTTTTTCCCCACGAGAAGTTGAAATTGACTGATTGATTGAACTTTTTTTTTTTGTACATGGTGGTGGAGGCCTAAAGCGAAGAGGTTTTATAAAACCCAGCTGAAGGCCTAGGACTGGGGAGATGGCGCACATGCCCACAGAGAGGGCTCTTAGTGCCACCTCTGGCACCCGTGCCATAGGTTCGCCACCACTGAGCTATGCTAATACATATTCAATTCCTAATCCTTCATTCTTTCTTCTAACCAGCGATAAAATAAATCCCAAATTTGGTAGTAGTCTTTGTCTTTCAGTCTCATAGTTAATCTGTCCATCTCTGCACATTCCAATATTTTTCTGATTATTTCTTCTTCTGATGGCAATTCTTCATTCTTCCAGTATTGTGCGAAGGTTATTCTCGCCACTGTAGTGATGTGTAGAATTAAATATAAACTTTGCTTATTAATCTTTTCAGGCATTATACCTAGTAAAAAAAAGTTCAGGTTTAAAATCAACATGTTCACCTAATATTTTTTCTAGCCACGTATGTATCTTTCTCCAATAAGCCTTAGCTTTGCCACATGGCCACCAGATGTGGTAGTACGTGCCTACATTATGTTTACATTTCCAGCATCTATCTGACATATTTTTGAACATTTTTGCTAGTCTTGCTGGTGGCCACTGCCATCTATAAAACATTTTATGGGATCCTTGCAACTCTTCGAACATATTTGTTGTCTTGCAGATATTCCATGACCCATCTAGGTAACAACATCAGTGCTAGCCCTGTCAGTGTTGGTAGGAGTATTCTTGGTGATTCCTTAATCATGATATAATTTCCTGGTTGCTGATTGTTTGTCTGCTCGATTGTTTATCTTCTTGGTAATTCCCTGATTAGAATATTGTTTGCTGCTTGACTGAGATGATGAAACATCTACAAGGAAACAACCAAGCTCAGAGAGCACCAAGGATTCTTACTAGCAACTTAAGCAATAAAAGAGCCGTCTCTGAAGTCTTGCAAACATTAAACATCTAAAAGAGTGGAAAATGATGTCACCACGTTACACAGTCCTTGCAAAGCCACACCCGAGAAGAATTAGCCTCGCTCAACTCTTGTTTAATCATTGAGATTATGGATTCTCTACTCTAAGCCGCCTTCAAAGTGTTATATTTTTGCTCCAATAAATGTATGCATGTGCATGTGTGCAGGCATTGTGTGATGTGGCAGCTCTAGGCAGTTTCAGTAAGGCATCTCTCTCTCTTTCTCTCAAACAGACCCCTTGCAATCTGGCAATTGCTGTGAAGGCCTAATGTACAAGAATCCTGTAATCCCAGTCCAACTTCCTCTCCTTCAACCTGGTGTCCTTCTGTTTCTCAAGTAAGTGATAATTTTGTGGGTTGTAGTTCCAACATCTCTAAAAGGCACCAAATCTACAAAATTCAGGTGAATTAAAAAAAAAAAAATCTCGTTCACTCTATGCAGTATATGTGGGTGTGGCTTAAATCTTGGTATTAGGGTGGCAGAATATGCCCACCTGTTAATGATGCAATGCACAGAGAGGAGTCTCTTAGGAAAAAAAAAAGAATTAGGCATAAAAAAAAGAATTAGGCATGTCCTGCTTTAGCACCAGAAACATGGCTGAATACCCAAGGAGTCCTGTCATTGGCTGATGAATCTGCTAGTTTCACTCTCTCCCACAGATTGGAATCTTGAGCTTTTTTGCTCTCATTCATGAAAGAATTTGCAAAGATGGCCCAGTTCTGATCAAAGAATAATGATAATGTTTTTAATGGATTTTACTGTGGAAATGGTCGATGGCAGTATATGGTTTTAAAAAAGGACAAATGCCTTTGTCATTCTGTTTTGCTTTACGTGGTTTCTCTTAGATGGAGACCTTCACGGAACCTCCCAAAACAATTGTATTTGGTTGATTGGTGGGACTAATCCAAACATATTCTTCTCTCCCTAACATCCCGTCAGGCATAGAGGGTTAAAAACTAGCAAAAAGAAGTTGTTATAAGAAAAATTACCTGGAATGGTATGAATTTGAGACTTAGGGGTGAATCTTGAATTAAGCTTATTGATATGTTGGAAGAGTTTTATGCAGTGTGTAGACGTATCCTATATGAAATGATAAATTTAACAGATTTTGGTCTGAAGAAATTTATAAATACTTCTGCTTGCCTTTAACTATCATCAATGAAAAATCGATACGTAGCTGACTGGTAGATAGATTCCATATACCTGCAGAACAAGGGAAGGTGCAAGGCTTCATTTGTGGTTGTCACTATCTTGACTCTTGATCAATCCATCTTGACTCTTGAGCAAGTAAACAGCCCAACTAATGAACAGCCAAGATCACTCCCACCAACATTAGCAGGGCAAGCCACTCGAATATAAACTGAGAACAAACTCCACTCCTTACTAGCACTGATGATGTTACTTAGTTGGGTCATGAAACATCAGCAAGAAAATCATCAAGCTCAGAGAGCACCAAGGATCCTACAGTCCTCCTCCTCCACCACCACCACCAGCACCTCCTCCTCCTCCTCTTTCTCCTTTCCTTTTTCTCCACTCTGCAAATCCCCCTCTCTTCTAGCAATGATGATGTTACCTAGTTGGGTCATGAAACATCTGCAAGAAAACTACCAAGCTCAGAGAGCACCAAGGACCCCACATTTCAACCCTACAGATGTTCTCACTGATGTGACGTGTGAAACAGGAGATGGATATGATCCAATTCCTTCCCTTCGTGAAAAATTCACTCTGGAGTTCTCCCCACAATTTCTTCATTTCATCAGCTTAACTTCAGAGCTGTTGTGATGGCAAAGGGACCTATCTGAATTCAGACATAGTTGGGGATTTACAGCCAACTCCTCAAGAGTTCCTTGGGTAGATGAAGTGAGTGGCTGTCCTGAAGATATAAGTTTATTACAGGTACTGCAGTCCTTGAGTTATGAGCACAACTGAGATCAGGATTCCTGTAAGCAAGGTGGTTGTTAAGGGAGCCACATCTGATTTTACAAGCTTTTTTTCTGCCACTGTTAAGTGAATCATTGCAATTGTTAGGCCAGATTATCTGGCTTCCCCCATTGACTTTGTGTGTTGGAAGTCAGCTGGGAAAGTGACAAATGGTGACCCCCTGATCCCAGGATGCCGCAACTCTTGTAAACACATGTTGATTGCCAAGCGCCCAGATTTTGATTAGCTGACCCTGGGAATACTGCAACGGTTGTAAGGGTGAGGACCGGGTCCTAAGTCACTTTTTTCAGTTCCTAAATAAATGATTGTAAGTTGAGGTTTGCCTGTACATTACTGGAAATGCTACCTTGGTTCCAGAGCTGCATACTTTACACCATCCCACACAAACAAGAGGACAAGGTGGAATGCACACAACAAACTAAGCTGTGAGTTCATTTACTTGTTAAGTTGCATATCGCTAACTGGTCCTCATGCTCAGCCATAAACCATGGATTAACAGAATAACAGAGTTGGGGGGGACCTTGGAGGTCTTCTAGTCCAACCCCCTGTTAAGCAGGAGACCCTATACCGTTTCAGACAAGGGGTTGTCCAGTCCCTTCTTAAAAACCTCCAGTGATGGAGCACCCACAGCTTCTGAAGGCAAGCCGTTCCACTGGTTAATTGTTAGGAAATTAGGACATCTCTACATCTCTCTCAATCCTCTATCATTTATATCTATCTATCTATCTATCTATCTATCTATCTATCTATCTATCTATCTATCTATCTATCTATCTATCTATCTATCTATCTAGATGTCATTATCTCCAACTTTATCTCTCCATCTCTGTCTCCACAAGCTGTTCCAGTTATAATGCATACAGATATAAACACCATGATTATACAGTGGTCTTGGGACCTCTTTCATTTCTACACCCCAAATCTTCTCTTTCGCCTCCCTTACCTTAACCTGAAAAAGCCCTGTCAATCAGTGATATATATTTTTTCATTTACTAAAAGAATTTCAGTAGAGATGTGCAAACATCATAATCTGGCAGAATGTATATGACAGTACAGTACATTGATTAGCATGTTAATGTTTAAGGTGCTCCTGTTGAAAATGCTTGATTGTCTGCAGTCCTTTCTATTTCTTTTGGTGGTGATGAACTGCATTGTTAGGACAGAAGATCATCAAATTCACTTAACTCCACATGTACACACCACTGCCATCCTGTGGAAATGTTCATTTTCTCACCACATCCTTTAAGACCAGACTTGCCTCCCCAGTAGTTGACTTATTGAAGTTGCCAACCTATTGCACAAGATGGAAAAATGAAGGCCAAAGACCACCGTTTCCTTCAGCCCTGAATTTCTGTTTTATTACATGTTTTGTAAAATGGTCATTAAAGATACATTTCCTGTCTTTTAAGAATTCAGATTCCCCTTTTCACTCCTTCTTCCGTTTAGCAGTAAACCATAAAAGCAGTTTTGAAATGATTCAAGAAGAACCACTCGTCTAAATTTAGGTTCCCGGGGCAAATGTTTCCACTGTAATTTTTTTCCCCTAAAAGACCCCCTGTACATTCATATACATTTTTGCAACTGTATGAGTGCGAGTTTGCTTAACACATGCATGTCTGTAAATATGTTTTGACCATCTCTCTTATCTTTTTCCTAATGTACATGTTTAGGTATAAACTGCATTGCCAAATTGTGAGGTGTGTGGGCATTGGAGGCTATGTTGCTTTGAGAAGCTTGAATCTACTCTTTTTTTTCCCTTTCCATTCAACCACGCCCAATTCTCTGAGACTATTTATTTTTGTGTTTGTTTGTAAAATGTATTGGTCACCTATCTTACTTCAGGGTAACTGGGCGGCTTACAACTTTAAAAATATTTGGACAAGTCCCTGCAGTTTTCTTAGCAAGGTTTTTCAGAAGTGGCTTTCCATTGCCTCCTTCCTAGGGTTGAAAGAAAGTGGCTGGCCCAGAGTCACCCCAGCTGGCTTTGTGCCCAAGGCAGGACTAGAACTCATGGTCTCCTGGTTTTCTAGCCTGGTGCCTTAACCATTACACCAAACTGGCTCACGTTCAGTTGTAACAATAAGTTATGTTAAATAATCTCACCAGTACCACCTATTTTGATGTCAATCCAGACTTAGTGGCCACCTTTCTCCAAATTGGGAGAAAATGTAGTCCTAACACAGCAGTCTTCAACCTTTTGGGTGCCAGGGACTGGTTCCACGGAGGGTGGTTTTTCCACAGACTGTGTGTGTGTGTGTGTTTGTGTGCTGCCTGCATCCTCCACATGCATGGATGAGGTTCACTTTATTGCACACTGGGGTTCCTGGCAGATTGTGGGCTGTCCAGGGCCCAGAGGTTAGGGACCCCTGTCCTCATAGATTTGTGGTGTAGCAGACTGGAATGACTGAATTTATCCACTGGCAAGTTTGACTTAGTCTCTCCTTCTTTTTCTGGCATCTGGTTTGCCTGTAAACTCCTTTCTGATTTTCTGATTTCTTTTTCCAAGAACGCAATCCAAACCCACTATAGCTTTCCACTTGCCTTTGTACATACGAAAAGAAAAGAAAACATCTTAATCAAGAGGAGAGCAGAATTTTGATAAGGGTTCTGTTTCTCCCAAGACAATTTACCTTCCTCTCCACCCAGCATTTCCAGTTTTTACACGTTAACCTTTTCAACCTCCTGGCAAAGGGGCAAAATACAGTGTATTAAAATAGTCCCGTTTCATATAGGATCACCCTTTAAAGGGATGGTGAATTCCTGATTAATGAATGAAACAAACGGTTTAGTTTGGGTGGTCTCAAAGGTGCTTTTTCCTTCAAAAGGCAATTGAATTGTTTTTTTTTCCTTGAGGAAGAAGAGAAAATATTTTGCTTCTCATCCAAGAAGCTTCATCAGTTCTGATGGAGGTGTGTGTGTGTGTGTGTGTGTGTGTGTGTGTGTGTGTGAGAGAGAGAGGGTGGAAGGATAGGTACTGAGAGTTAAGATTGGATGGTGGGGGGATATAAGAATAGGTTCTGATAGGATGGTGAGGGATGGAAGAATTATATTTCTTCGCAGTCATCTGGTTGTTAATACTCTCCCTGAGAGCTTTTGAGGACACTTGGGGGGTTTATCTGTGCCCTCAGGGTCACCTGAACTAGATGAAATTAGTTGTGAAATCTTCTTGGAACTACTGTAAGTTCTGCATTGTAGACTGGAGATGGGTGGCATTCAATTCTAACACCGATGGATTCTGTTACCCCTCTTTCAAACCAACGATCCTCTCTATCCAAAATGTGGACTTTCTCTTCTTCCTCAAGGGGAAAAAAAACCAGTCCAGTTGCCTTTTGAAGAAAAAAAGACAACTATGATCTGGATGACTGAGGATCTCCACAGATACTTAGTTTGGGTTCTGTATTTAATAATAATAATAATAGTAGTAGTAGTAGTAAAGTTGGAAGGGACCTTGGAGGTCATCGAGTCCAACCCCTGCTCAGGCAGGAAACCCTACACCATTTCGGACAAATGGCTGTCCAGTCTCTTCTTAAAAACTTCCAGTGTTGGAGCATTTACTGCTTCTGGAGGCAGGCTGTTCCACTGATTAATTTCTTACCACTGATCCCTCAGGACATTATAATGAGATTTTTTTTATTTGCTAACAATGGTGACAAAAAAAAAACCAGAAATGGCCCATTTCATTTCCCCTAAATTCCTCATCGTGGTGACCATTTACAGATGTTCAGAAAATGTTTGCCCAGTTTTATGCGTTCTGTGCCTATTTCCCTGAAAGCATATAGTGGCTCTGGGGGTGGTGATATGTTTTTCTCCTTCATAAGCTTTTTTCTATATGCCTTTTATATCTGTATGCCTTTCCCCAGATTATTTTTTTTTTTCAAGTTACAAACTGCACCACAAATTTCAAAAAGCAATGGAAATAATCTCCTTTCTACTTTGATCTCTCTTATCTGTCTGATAGATCTGAAACCATTAAATTCATGTAAGCAATTTGACAGAGCCTATTTCTTAAACTCTGTCTGTTATATAGGATGATGTTCTTTTCCGTCCCTAAAGCATTTTGCCCAGTAAAAAAACAAATAAACCACATATCTAATCTGATAATGTTTTCTTGAGGTTCAAAGAAATTAACATTGCTCTTCAGATGTCTGTGGCTCCAATGTGCTCATGGCTTTCCCCTTGAGGACCTCATAGCTTCTCTGGCCCTCACCTGATTCATTTTTAAGATTTGTTGCAAAACAAAAGCTCTGGGGTCTCATATTATCTGTGGCGGTAGGACACGCATCATAAACGGTTTGGTTCCTACTTCAAGAAACAGGTTGGTTCCAGAACTTAATTCATTAGTTGTTCCATCAAGCAGTGGCCGTATGGAACATCTGTTGTGAATCATCCTGAGTAGAACTTACATCTCACCCATCACCAACCCAACACAATCATTTTCAGCAGATCCAAGTCCATAAATCCAGCCGAGAATCATCAAGACTTGAGGAATCAAACAATGGGAGATCTTCCGATATGGACCTCTACGTATCATTGATTAGCTAAGAAGATAGAGGAGTCATTTTCAAGTCTTTGAGGCCGAAAGGATCGGAAATAGGCCATTAAAACATTTTCGCTTCTCTTCCCAACCTCCTCCTGCTCTTTGGCAGTGGAAACGGCAGTCCTGATGTTGTCTAAACGGATGAACCGGTGCAGGAAGGCAGCCCCGCTGTGTCGGAATAGCCTTTGCTGAAATTCTGATGTCATGAAATAGTAGAGAATTGGATCCAAGCAGCAATTCAGGCTTGCAAGGCACAAAGAAATGGAGTGGAAATTCAGAACTTGGTGACGGACCAAGCAGCTTCCAAAGACACCTTGTTTGACCATCATAAAGATCGGGAGGTTCACATGGTAGGGGGTGAAGCAGATGAAGAAGACGGCCGCACAGCCCAAGATCAGACGCCAAGCTTTCCGCCTCTCATCAGCCTGTTGCAATGGAGCTTCAGGATCCTGCAGGGACTGCCTCATCTTCCACGTGCAGTAAAGGATTATTACAAGAGGGAGCAGAAATCCAGAGAGCTCAGCTACCACCATCAGTGTTACGGAGGCTCCCCTTGTTAACTGTTTGACTCCAAGATCAGCAAAGCAGCTATTGGCATTGTTGGTTAAGCTAGGACTTCTCAGGATTGGGAGGGGCAAGCAAGCAGCCCCCACCACGATCCAGACAATAGCACTTACGGCAACATCATGTTTGTAATTCCAACTTTTGGTTCGGAAGGGATGAAGTAGAAAGAGATACCTTTGGATGCTGATGCAAGTGAGGAAGCAGATGCTGGCGTACATGTTGAGGTATTTCAGGTAGAAGCAGAATTGACAGAGGAAGCTCCCAAAGGGCCAGCTGTGGTTGATATAGTAGTACATCCTCAAAGGCAAGGAGAGGACATGAGCCAGATCAGCTGCGGCCAAATTCATCATGAAAATGGCTGCTTTGCTTTCCTTCTTGATGAAGCAACACAAAACCCACAGAGCAAGGCTGTTGCCCACCAGACCAGGGATGAAAATAATCACGTACGTCGCTGCATATAAGGAGGCCTGGAAACCCATGGAAGGATCAGAACAATTTTCAGAAGAATTGTCAGCCGGCATCTCGGTCTGGTCAGTGAAGTTCCTGAGCACAGTGGTGGCTGAGCAAATCCCTGTGAAGGACAGAAAAAGCAGGAGCAGACACTTATTTCCTTCTACAGAGAGACAGGTGAGAAAGGAAGGCTGCAACCTGGAACACACAGGCCACGTTCGTTGGTCAAATCATATGGTCACTTCAGAAGAACCATAAAATCCTAGGCTGGAAGGGATTTTGAAGGTCTTCTAGTCAAAACCTCTGCCAAACAAAGAATCTATCAGATCTGCCACAACTTAAATCTCTAGATAGAAATGATCCTTGGCTCCATTTGTTGAGAAAGGTATAGTTCAGGGGTGGCAAACCTATGGCACGGGTGCCAGAGGTGGCATTCGGAGCCCTCTCTGTGGGCACACGTGCTGTTGCTCCAGCTTTGCCTCCACCCGCAACCCCCTCCTCACCAGCAGCCTCCCTGGAGGAGAGTCGCCCCTGAGTGTGACCCATGCGGAGCAGTACAGCCAAGGACATGGCAGCCAGCTAGCGTAGACAAGACTCTGCCCTCACGCCCCAACGGGCACAGTTGATGCTGCGGGGCGTGGGCAGAGGGAGTGGCCACCATGGTGCTGCTGGGCTGCCTGGGTGATCTGCGGTGGGCCCTGGAGGCAGTGAGTGGCCCTGCAGGCAGGCAGGGTGGGGTGGAGTGAGGGTGGGGCAGGGGGTGGAGCAGGGGTGGGGCAGGGGCAGTTTTTGGGCACTCTAAAAGGTTCGCTATCACTGGTATAGTTTATTAGAGGTCAAGTGCATTGCAGTGTTGCAAAACCAGAACTGAGAATCGTGCGCCAAAATCCCTATGTTCAATTTTTCCCTCCCTTAACTATCTCTCATTGTCCACCCCATTGTAACCAATCAGGTTCAGGCGAGATGTTTTCATACCAGTCAGTCCAGGTGTGGTTTGGTATGGGGCTTCCAACGAGGTGACCTTGAGGTAGCTTCTCAAGGAGATACAGCACTTACTTTTGTTTTCCCCAAGCCTTCCCCCCTTCATTCCCCCTCCCCACTGTTCATGGCAGTCTGTCACTACATAGCAGCGAAGCACAAGGAAGCCTAAGGTGGCCGCCGACATTATCCTTATACCATCAGCTAGATGTACCTTACCACAATTTCCCAAACTAGCTGGAAACTCCACATTATGCTGCAATTTGAACTCCAAGATATCTGGAAATCGAGAAAGCTGCTATTCTTACCCAATTTAGTTCTGAAGGCACGGTTTTCTGGCTTCTTTGCTTCTGCAAGCTCCATGGATTAAATCACACGGAGGAAGGAAAAGAATGACCAACGTAGGAAAAGGAACCTAAGTTATAATTATTTTTAACCAGGGAGTTAAAATCCTGCTCTACGTCAAGGGGTGGATGGACATGAATGGAAGGCAAGGCCATTCATTTCAAGATGAGCCAGCTTTAAATGAGTTCTCTTTCCTTCCTGTCTGCTGATTCTAAGCTGCTTAATGATTGTTCCTCCTGAGGATACTCTGCTGTGAGTAATGTAGCAGAAGTCACAAGCCAGCAAAAACCTCTCAAACCCTCATTTGCCACTGAGAATCTACAATTTCTTCAAGCTTTCTTGCTTAAATGAGATTATTATTATATATTGCGTGGTACGCTCACGTCACATTTTGAGAAAAACGCAAGAGATAAGAACACAAAATATGAAATGTAGAATCTAAACTATTATAAACATGTCTAGCTTACCTGTTTCACTCCAGGTAGCTCAATATTGGCAGCTGGGAGCTATCAGTAATCTTCAAGTCACTAAATGGATGTAAATCAAGGACTATTTGTATTTGAAAGTCTACCTCTTCCCAAATACATCTACCCGTCCCATCTGACCTGGCTGATGGCTGAGTTGCTCATCATTTGGCATGATTCAGAAAGAGAAATTTTTCTGCCACAACCACCAGCCTCTGGCACATTATTTTCCCCAAAGTATGAGTGGTCCCTATCCTTGCCAACACATGGCCAGCGTCTGGCCGTGATAAAAACTGGGAAGTTTGGGAATTGCTAAACAGACTGCGCATGGGCACAGCAAGATCAAGAGTTTCCTTGAATATGGAAATTTGTAGACCTCATGACAGCACAACAGAATGCAATCGATGTTACATGCTTCAGGGCAAGCGCACCTAAATTAGGCTTTTACACAATTTAAATTTTATGTTCCGATGTTTGTATTTATAAAGGTCAAGGTTTTCCCTGTCCAGTCATGTCCAACTCTAGGGCCGGGCGCTCATCTCCGTTTCCTAGCCAAGGGAACCAGTGTTGTGAGTCCTCGTTAGCCAGTGGACCCGGCAGCTGAGTCTGGGGAATCAGAGTCAGAGGAGGAAGAGGGGCCTGGAGACCCATCAGAGTCAGAGGAAGGCCCTGATGAGCTCCAGGACTTATAATCTGATGAAGAGCTTGCCCCCTCCACTCGTGCTCAGGCTGTGCTGGGAAGCTGAGTCAGACTCTGAGGACTCACAGCTGGAAGACATCATAGATGCTCGCAAATGCAGACAGGCAACAAGAGCAGGACAGAGGGAGGTAATGGGGTGACTCCAAGGGAGGAGGAGGAGAAGGCATTGAGAAGCCATGCCTTGGGGCTGCATAATAAAAGGGAAGGTGTGGGAAGTGCTGGTTGCTGAAGGCAACCGTTTGTGTTAAGGAATCAAGTTTCAGTAAACTGTGTTTGTTTGCCTTTGGATATTGATTCAGGTCTGTAAATAATAGAATGGGATTGGTTTTTTCCTGCGGTTCCAGCCTGCTTGTTGGAGGAGGGGTTTCTCCTTGTGAGCCTAACAAAGACTCACGTAGGCTGGGACAGAACAGCCAGCATTGTCCAAAGACACTTTTCTCTGGTCATGTGGCCAGCATGACTGTATGCCGAGGTGCAGGGAACTCTGTTAACTTCCCACCAAAGTGGTACCTATTTATCTACCAGCATTTGCATGCTTTCAAACTGGTAGGTGTGCAGGAACTGGGCCAAGGAACGGGAGCTCACCCTATCACACAGCACACGGGTCTCAAACCTGTGTTGTCAGCTGACAAACTGAGCATCTTTAAGTGCTGAGCCAGCTCCCCTCTGTTTGTATTTATAGCTATATATAAAATTATAATAATGATGTTTCTGACCCAAACAAATAAATAAATAAAAATCCTGCCAGCCTTTCAGAAATCCCTGAAAACTTGGATGTATCATCAGATCTGGGAATATGAAGGAAATATGGAGATTATTAAATGGTTGTATTATATATAGTCAGAGTGCATCTTCCTCTGTTTTTTTTTTCACAATTACGATTTTAAATGCAGCTTTTGATTATTTATTTTTTTTAAAAAAAAACCTTTTTAATAGTAGAAAACTTGGGTTTTATTTGTGTTTTAACTATGCAAGGCTGCCCAGAATCCAAGGCAAGTGAGATGGGTGGCCATATAAATGTAATAAATAAAATAAAACACGACTAGAAGCAGAGGTTCTTCATTACAGTATTTGCAGGAATCATCTAAGTCTTCCCATTTCTATTTTGGGTCTGTTTGTTTACAGACTATTTTTATACCTTCCTATCTTTTTCCAAGAATGGAATGTATGGTGGGAATCTAAAGGTTCAGCATTGGTTGAAACTTTCTACCCTGTTCCTTTTCTTCCTCTTGCTGCGGATTCATCCAAACTCTCGCAGGAGGAAAGTAGCCACAGTTGGGTGTTGGCTTAACTATTATTTAAGTCCAAAGGGTCTCCCCACCCCTTTCCTGGTCGGTAGCCCAACATTCTGTTATCTCCAAGCTGCTGTTTTAACTTTGAGGGTTCTATGGATGGTTTTAATTTGTTTATATTTTTAGCAGCGGGATGTTTTCCACTGTACCATTTGTAGAGACCTTTTGCCTACATGCCTGTTCATCCACTGCTCTGGGAGGGAGCTTCACTTCTGCAATATGTGGGGTTATGATCTTTTCCATAACTGTGTAATTAAAGAGTCCCGTGCCCCTTCCTTCAAAAAAAAAAGAGTTATGACTCTCCATTCAGGAAAACGATGGGAACTCGGTGGACCTTGACCTAAACTCAGAACTTTATGAAACAGTACGATTTCAACCTAACCAAGCATGCAGGGAAAGATTCTTGAATCTAAAACTGCATTTATCAGAACAAATGTTTATGGAGATTCTCAATCGTCCAGTTCATGGTGGTCCCAAAAGGCAACTGAACTTTCTTGGTTTTTTTCCCTTGAAAAAGTTTCGCTTCTCATCCAGTTAACTTCTTCGGTTCAGAATGGATGAGAAGCAAAATGTTTTCAAGGGAAAAAAATGCAAGAAAGTTCAGTTGCCTTTTCAGACCAACATCTTGTAAGTCTGAATGTGTGTGCCTTCCTTCCTCTTTCTTTTAACTTGATGAGAATTAAGGGGAGTGGGGTACTTTCCGAAGCACAAACCACTTTCTTGGTCTGGAGCCAAGCTATGTTTATCTGATGATTGCCTTGGAAATAGATCGTTCCTCTGTCCTTCTACACCAGTGTTTCTCAACCTTGGCAACTTTAAGACATGTGGACTTTAACTCCCAGAATTCTCCAACCAGCATTTATAGCATTGCTGGCTACAGAATTCTGGGAATTGAAGTCCACACATCTTAAAATTGTCAAGGTTGAGAAACACTGTTCTACACTCTCTACGACTCATTACAGAGGCAAAACGAGGATCAGCAGTGAAGGTACCCCAAATTACACCAGCAGATTTTTTTTTTTTTTTTTTGCTGGCTTACAGGAGAAAAGTCCTAATTCTGTAGGATCTCTGGATACTTTCAGACTCCTTGACCATCCCAGAGCAAAAGAAACTCAAAAAAAAAAAATGAGCATATTCATAAGAGCCTTTTGCACACTTGAGGAAGAAGCAAGCTGTGGGAGATATTCCAATGATACAGTAGTTCCTGGAACATTTGAATTTAGGGGATCAAAGCAATTTGGATTGTAGTAGCTCTTACTTAAGGCTGTTATCTTCCAAGGGTCAATCCTGCAAGAATCAGAAGACCTAGGGCAGAAATAGCACATCTGGACTACAAACATTTGGACAGCCACTAAAGGAGAAGGGGAGAAGAGAATTCATATTATGTGTTTCTTTTTTAGAAGTGTCTTAAATATTTCCTTCTGAATTTTTGCATCCCAAATCTGGTAGACCTTAGATCAGTGGTTCTCAACCTGTGGGTCGGGACCCCATTTGGGGTCGAATGACCATTTCACGGGGGTTGCCAAACAATGCAGTCTGCCATTTTTTTCCCCCCTTTTCCTTAGCTGTGCTACTCCCTTTTCTAATTGGCTTTTGAAAGCCAATAGAATAGATTCTCTTGAATAGAGTCTAATTCTATTGGCTTTCAAAAGCCAATAGGAATTGTCCAGGCTGTCTCTGCCCTGCTGAGCCCGCCAAAAGTCCCATTCTGCAAACGGTGCTGCACCAGTTGAGTAGTCCTCGACTTACGACCAGTTGAGTAGTCCTCGACTTACAACCAGTTGGAGGTCGTGGCATTAAAAAGGTTGAGAACCACTGCCTTAGATGCTCAGGGAGACACATGCTCAGAAGTCACAGTTAGCTATTCAGCCCAACAAACGTGGGATGGAAATCTTTCTAAAGAGTTGGTCACGATTTTGTTATATTTGGTAAAGTGATGTTTTTCCACCAGATAAATAAAGAAATAAAAAACCCTGAAGATCTTAATGATTACAGTAATATAAAACAGGAGATTTTTTTTTTAAATTAAAGAGTGAACTGTGGCAGTTTCTGGTAACAGACAGTCTTTCTGAAGAAAAGATCTAAGCCTCGCTGCTCAGTTGATTTCCTTGCTAGGAAAACCTTGTTTTTCACTTTAAATGTATGCTATGGGTGCAGTTATTTAAGGGTGGGACTTACTGCTGATTTGCAAAGACTTCGGAAGCGCCAAAACCCACTTCTGTGTATCCAATAACTGAATTCTTTCCTGCAAACTCACTTTGAAATAAATGACATAAGGATGCCCCAATTTGCAGCTTTCTACCTGCTGTAAACTTTAGGAGAACAGCCTTACCTCATAGCAGTTTGCATTCCTTCAAGTGATGATGACCGCAGAAAGCCAGAAAGGCAACAGAAGCTTCCTTTGAACGTTGATGTTTTGCTCATTTCGGTCACAAGAGTTCTCGTGCAGTTTCAACCTCTTTGTGATAATTTCCAAGGCTGAGCAGGCTCTCAAAAGGTTTTTCCAGAAGGACGAGGGAAGGTCCAGAGCTGTGATTGTACAAGAGGAAATCCTGGATCTCGTTTCTCTGCCCCACTTAAAATACAGTCACAGCTTTCTGGAGAGACGCCAAAACAACAGATGACATCACAATGATAGCGGAGCCTAGAAAAACTGCCCTCTTCTTGTGGTGCCTGCCTTTTTTTTGCTTTATTTCTTTTAGCTTTTTTAGCCATACATTTTATTAAAAGCGTTAAAGAGACCATAAAAACGAACACAGTCTAATGCAGACTAAAGAGAACAAAGAAATAGAAAGAAAAAAAGTAGGAAGTGCAGAAAGAAAACATAACAAGAAATATTTTATCGATTGATTAGTGTTATGACCGTATCAAAAATAAAATACCAATAGTCCTCGACGTATGATCACAGATGAGCCCAAAACGTCTGTGGCTAATTGAGACAGTTATTAAGTGAATGTTGCCCTGTTTTACGATCTTTCTTGGCACAGTTGTTAAGTGAATCACTGCAGTTAAGTTAATTAAGTTAGTGACACGGGGGTTGAGAGAATCTGTCTTCCCCATTGGTTTTGCTTGTGAGAAGGTCGCAAAAGGAGGATCCCGTGATCCAGGGACACGGCAACGGTCATAAATAGGAGTCAGTTGCCAAGCATCTGAAATTTTGATCACGTGACCAAGGGGATGCTGCAATGGACATAAGTTAAACAAATCGTCCTAAGTCATTTTTTTTTCACTAAAGGAACGGTTGTAAATTGAGGACCACCTTATACAGGATATAAATCCAGGATAAAATAGATAAAAATACATTATTGTTAAGTACAAAGAATCAGCATTCAGGTAAATACATTGTCTTTACAGAATACCTCATTCTGTTCTCTACAATTAATCCTTTGGCGATTAATGTAAGTAATCTCAAAAATACAGGCTAAATGGTAAAGATAGAAGAATGAAAAAGTAGACAGCTTCTTTCTGACAACATAAGGGTCTATAATATCCCTGAAACAATTATATTAATTATATTGCTATATTTAGATATAGCATAATAGCAGGAACTGTAGCAGAAAGTAATGTAACCTGCCAAAGGACTAAATACAGAAGGCATCTCACACATATTCTGGAATACTTCAGATAGTCAACATTACATATCTGGTTAGACTCTAGAAACTGAGACAAAGAAAAGTAAAATCAGAAATTGTTTTGAAAGCTGAACTCTTTCTCAGTCTGTTGAAATGGCTATTTTAACCAGAATGTCACAATAAAAATCTTAACATCCTGTAAGATGTGTTTTGATCCAGGGCTTGCTGTAAGTAGTTAGATTTAAAGAGAGACAGAGAGAGATGCTACTGAATGTTTGCTTTTTCTCATATTGTCAAATTATGCTTAATTGATGGCTGGAGAAAACTTAGGTTTGCTAAGGACAACAAATCTGTTCCATGCTTAATTTATATCTATAAGTTTAACATATGTTTCTTGTAACTGTGGAATAGAAGAATAAGAAGAATATCGCCCATATTTTGAAACCTTCCCAAACTTCTTTGTTTATCACATCCCCATCCTGAAAAATACTGAAGTATATAAACAATATTTTCCCCTGATGGGGCTTTTAATTTTGGTGAAGACGAGGAGAGGGAAAATCAGGAATATTAGGATTTCTTTCTATGTTATAGAGGTAAGCTCTGACATTCTTGATGATTTGCTAATTTTTGTATAGAAAGCAATCAGATTTGTTTTTTTTTAAAAAAAATGTTAAAATGGGATTTTCAGTTCCTCTCAACAATTGGTATGTATATTAATAATATTAAACCATAGTCTCTGGTTAGATGTGCTTGCTTTTTTCAAAGTTTTGGCCTCGGGTAGGCAGTGGCAAGCATAAAATGTGACTCTTCCTTTGTAAAATGGCAAGTGTTGTGTTTGCATTGGTCCCGGGCATTCCAAAAGCTGCCCAGGATCAGACAGAGTGGCGCCAGCCTTGGGCGCATACGCAAGGTGCGAAAACGCTCTGTTCCTATTGGTTGACATTGTCCGAGTTTTTGGCCATATAAGAAGGCCTGCGCGCCTTTTGCTTTTGGTTGGTTGTTGTAGTACGAGAATAAAACGTTTGTTTAACATCGCCATGTGTCTTCATTCGCACGCGTACAAAGTGCACAACAGCAAGTATTTCCTGTCAATGGCTGTCTGTAAAAGTTAAAAAATAACCCACAGGATGCACCTGGATGAAAAAGAAAAAAGAAATAGCAAAGAGAAAGAACCAAAAAACCCCCATAAACATATGGAAACCAGAAGGTAGCTATATATTTGAAATTGCATAATTATCCAGCTCACATGATTAAAATCGTGGGCGCTCCATCCCTGGAGATTTTTAAGAAGAGGCTAGACAGTCACTTGTCTGAGCTGGTATAGGTTCTCCTGCTTGAACAGGGGGCTGGACTAGAAGACCTCCAAGGTCCCTTCCAGCTCTATTCTATTCTAAAATGGGGACGAGTTGTTGCAGCGTGGACTGTGCTCTTGAAAAGCAGTGGACAAAGAGTACCCTTGTTTTCTTTCTCTTTCAAACCAGTTCTTTTATTTATTTTACTATTCAGAGCAATTATTTTGTTTACTTGCAGAGTATGTACATACTTACAAAGATGTGTTCAGTCAATTCACTAATGAAGTTAGACTTTTGAATTGGACTAAAACAAAATACTGTTAATTCTTACGACCCATAAACTGAAGGTTGCAGATCAAGAGAAGCCTGGAGAACTCCTGTTCATATCTGTGGGATTTATTTGAATGTATTCCAATTGTGTGTGTGTGTGTGTGTGTGTGTGTGTGTGTGTGTGTGTGTAGTCATTTTTAGTATGCTAAACCTATCTGAAGGCTTAATGCAAGTTATACCTTTGATTCTACCTCGAAGTCAGTCAGGAATTACATTCCCAAAACAATTTTCCATTGCACATTATTGGGGTCAATAAGTCAGTGAAGAATCAATTATCCAGGCCAAGGGTGTCTAAAGATTGAAATCATGGTAACGGATCAAACTTTGTAAATCTGAGACATTTTGTTGTTCATCCACGCAACTTCATCAGTCAGAGCAAAATTAGTTAGGCAAAGAATTTTGCTCCGCCTGATGAAGTTGCTTAGATGAGCAGTGGAATGTCTCAGATTAACAAAATTCGGTTCGGTTGCCATGATCAGCAAAAAGCATTAGTACCTCCAAAACTATCAAAAGAAAATAAAGCAGGTTCAGCAATTGCCCTCCTTAGGCAGATCTGGGAGAAAGAAATTCTCTGTAGAGCTTAGCATTTGCTCATCCCCACCCAGTTTAAGATTCTTGACTGGAAATGATGAGTGTCAGGCTGAGGTTGCAGAAAAAAAATTAAAGCAGATCATGTGATGGCTTAGCTATGTGAATCCCATCTTTGTGATCTGTAGAGCACGGTGCTGCAGATCCCAATTTTCTCTTCATGCAGACTTCGAGATTGTCCCTGAAAGCTTTTGAAGACTACAACATTAACTTAGAGCCAGCAATGTGTCGTATACACAGCTGCTTTGACTCATGCAACTTCCCTAAAATGGTTTCCATAAAATAGATTAGGAACCACTGATCTATCATGTTGTATGAACCCAACCAACTATTGCTCAATCAATGAACCAAAACTTTAGCATGGTATGTGAGCCCACTCTTATGCTACTGGGTACCAGGAGAGGCAGTCTGAACTATCAACTCCTGTAGATCCTCCAATCCTTTGTCCAACTTGAAGACCAGCTAATTTAGTCCTTCACAGAAGAAGCACTTTCCTTGCTTAGCAAACGACTTCTGAAGGACAAGCTCCTGTAGCTTGGCATCCGGCCATGGAATTCCGATGTCACAAAAAAATACAGGAATGGATCCAAGCAGCAGTTGAAGCTGGCAAGGCTTAAGAAAAAGGGGTGCAAATACAAGATGCTTTGCTTTACAGCACAGCCCCTCACCACATCTTCTTTTACCAACATGAAGAAGAAAAACATGACGTGATAAGGGGCGAAGCACACAAAAAACACAATGGCACACATGGACACCATCCGTAAGGCCTTCCGTTTTTCACCGGCGTTTTGTAAAGGCCTTTGGTTGTCCTGAAGGGATGCTCTGATCTTGGAAGTGCAATAGACAATGATTGCAAGAGGGAACAAGAACCCAATCAGCTCGGCGACCATCAGCATCCCGATCAAAGCCGCCTTATTCTGGAACTTTTCAATCTGGAGATCGGAGAAGCAAGCTTCGGAGCGCTGGGTGTTTCTCAGCAATGGGAAGGTCAGACAAGCTATGCCAACCACCAGCCAGATGGCAGCCGCGATGGCCACGTCGTAGCCCTTCTTCCAGTTTTTGGCCTTAAAGGGATGGAGTAGGAACAGATACCTTTGCATGCTGATACAGGTGAGGAAACAAATGCTGGCGTACATGTTCAGGTACTTCAAGTAGAAGCAAAGCTGACAAAGGAAGAGTCCAAAGGGCCACTTGTAGTTAATGTAATAATAAATCCGCAGAGGTAAGGAGAGGACATGAATGAAGTCCGCGGTGGCCAGATTCAGCAGGAAGATGATGGCTTTGTTTTGCTTTCGGATAAAGAGGCAGAGCATCCATAGAGCAATGCTGTTGGTTAGGAGGCCTGGGATGAAAATGATGGAGTAAGTGGCAGTATAAAATGTATGTTCGAAATTTATTCCGGGTTCAGAGCAATTCATCCCTGTTCCGTTGAAGGTAGGAGGACTTGGAAAAGTCCCACCATGGAAGGGATTCTGGACCCTGTAAGGAAAAAGATGGCACATTAATAAAGCTACAGCAATAGCACATAGATTTATATGCTGTCCCATAGTGCTTTACAGCAGTTTACGATGTCAGCACATTGGCCCCAACCATCTGGCTCCTCATTTACTGACCTCAAAAGGATGGAAGGCTGCGTCAAGCTCAAGCCCATATGGATCAAACTCCAGACTGTGGGCAGAGTTTGCCTGCAATACTGCACTTTAAACACTGCACCACCAGGTCTCCTAATAGCAATAGCACTTAGACTTATACACTGCTTCATAGTGCTTTACAGCCCTCTCTAAGCAGATTACAAGGTCAGCCTCTTGCCCCCAACAATCTGGGTCCTCATTTTACCAACCTCGAAAGGATGCGAAACTGAGTCATCTATGGGATGATAGATAGATAGATAGATAGATAGACAGACAGATAGATAGATAGATGAATAGCACTTAGACTTATATACTGCTTCATAGTGCTTTACAGCCCTCTCTAAGCAGTTTACAGAGTCAGCAATTTGCCCCCAACAATCTGGGTTCTCGTTTTACCAACCTCGGAAGGATGGGAAACTGAGTCATCTATGGGATGATAGATAGATAGATAGATAGATAGATAGATAGATAGATAGATAGATAGATAGATAGATAGATAGATAGAGCAATAGCACTTAAAGTTATATACTGCTTCAGGAAACTGAGTCAACCTTGAGCTGGTCAGAATTGAAGGGAATTGGAAGTTAATGCTTTTCTTTTTCTTCTCTTCTTTAACTTATGTAGATAGGCCTCGACTTACAACAGTTTGTGTAGTAACCGTTCAGTTACGACACTGAAAAATGTGACTTATGTCCATTTTTCACACTTACGACCTTTGCACCATCCCCATGATCGCGTGATCAAAATTCAGATATTGGCAACTGGTTCATACTTATGACCATTGCAGTGTCCCCGGGGGTCACGTGATCCCCTTTTGCGACCTTCTGACAAGCAAAGTCAGTGGGGAAGCTGGATTCACTTAACAACTGGGTTACTAACTTATCAACTGCAGTGATTCACTTAACAACTGAGGCACGAAAGTTCGTCAAATGGGGCAAAACTCACTTAATTGTCTCACTTAACAGCAGAAACGTTGGGCTCAATTGTGGTCGTAAATTGAGGACTACCTGTAGAGACTGGACAGCCATTTGTCTGAAATGGTATAGGGTTTCCTGCCTGAGCAGGGGGTTGGACTAGATGACCTCCAAGGTCCCTTCCAACTTTACTACTATTACTATTACTACCTTCCCCTATTTTCCCATTATTTTCATTTTTTTGGGTGGTATTTCTGTATTTTATATTTTGATAAACTAATGAAATACTTGAATCAAATAAATAAATTAATGCTAGCCATTTCTGTAACAACGGTCTCTATGAATCAGCAAAACCCAGCATCAAGAGGTCATTTCTTTTCTGTCTCAAGCACAAAATCCAGAAGAGGTTTGCAAGCAAAAGGGTTTTCTTGCAGAACTTACTTGCAAGAGTTCCTACAGGGTGTGGTTTTTATTCTGGTTCTTCCCTAAATTCAGAAGCTTCATATTGGAGTTGTCGTTGACAATTTCATGAAGGTATTTAATCTGCCAAGGACCTATGTAAGCGGCAAGTTTTATTACAAGCTTTCCATTTTTGCACACTGACCATATACCATATTAGCCTAAACTTCCTTGAAAAACTTACGTGATTTTAATAACTTTTATTTAAAAAATAAAGAAAAAGAAATCCTTCTGCGGCCTGAGAACGGTGGAGTCATTTTGCCCAGCTTGTAAATTGTTGCACGTTGCCTTCCGCCAACCTGTTTGTTCATGCATTTCCTATTTACTAAACTGCTCTTGCGTACTGTTCAAAAGTTTCCTGTTTAGCATCTTTGCCCATTAATTTTTATTAAGGCGGCAGCTTCAACTCCTCACTCAGGCAGGAAGTCAATAAAAATCAAATTTCCAGCTTCTGTTTTACATAACGACACCTCTGGGGAAAACAGTTCTTATTGCATGTTGGCCAAAGAGCTTCTGTGATTTCTCTATCCCTGGAGGATTAAATTATAATGAATATAACTCAAGATTCTCATTGGCCACAAATGTATTCTGCCTGAGTTTCTTTCTAAGCTGGTTTTACCAGTAGCTGGCTAAGTGCAAGCTTTATCATGCACTTATGAGTTACTATTGTATAGAGGCCCAGTCAGCAGTAAATTAGTAAGAAATGGGGGATAGAAGAATATTTGTAGTTCAGAATTGAATTCTGGGGCCCTGGGTGCTCTCAGAGCTTGGCTATTTTCTTGCACACATTACATTACCCAACTAGGTAACAGCATCAATGTGGAAGGATGTATGGTTTGAAGAGGAGGAGGATTGTGGGGTCCTTGGTGCTCTCTGACCTTGATCACTTTCTTGCAGACGTTTCATTACCCAATTAGGTAACATCATCAGTGCTAGAAGGGAGTGGGGTTTGCTTTCTGTTTACATGTAAGTGCCTTGCTCTGCCAGTGTTGGTGGAAGTGTTACTCGTGGTTCCTTGATTAGGCTATTATTTACTGTTAGCTTATTTGTCTGAGTTGGCAGTTCCTTGTTTGGGGTATTATTTGCTGCCTGGATGTTGGTTAATCTGTGGCTATGCCTCCTTGAACAGCATGCAGACAGAGATGACCTTCCCTCACAAATCAACCCACAGAGATTTTTCATAAGATGTAACTTAACAGGCAGGACATGCACCCAAGGGATGCTTGGCTTCCAGAACAGGAACAGACAAGAAACTGAAGTTGCAAACTTGATTTCAAAAAGTTTCTTTAGACCAGTTCATGCCTTAAAGGGAGGGGCAGCAGAGCAATGAAACGATGGGTGCATGTAACTTTTTTTTTTTTTTTTTGCTTTTATTTCAAACAATATCAGGTAACTACATTAACACAAATCCAAGATACATCTAAAAAAAATAGAAATATAAAAAAGGTCTACTACAACCTGAATAAAGAGAGGGGTACTCCATTTCAAAATTTATAATATTTAAAAAGTGTACCAAAGTATAATCTATTGCTATTAAGTTAAAAACTCAGTTTGGTGTAGTGGTTAAGACATCTGTCTAGAAACTGGGAAAAGGTGAATTTTTGTCTCGTCTTAGGCCCAAAGCCAGTCACTTTCTCTGACCCGCAAGAAGGATGTAATGGTCAACAACTTCTGAAAAACCTTATTAAGAAAACTTCAGGGAGTTTCCCAAGCAGTTTCTGAAAATCAGACACAACTGAACAAAAATTTAAGGTAAACCTTAAAATCCAACCAAGTTTAATAAAATTGTGGTTACTGTTTCTGACATTTTATTTCCTTAACTCAGTCTGTGATGTTTTTTTCTAATGTGGCAATCGAAAAGTTGTGGCTCATCACAACTCAATTGTTGTATTACCTAGAGTTCTCAGTGTTGCACAATCATCGTTTGAGTTGCTAAAATTAAATAGATAAATCAATTCTTTATTTTTAACTTCATGGTTTTTGTCCAGTGAATAAGAATAAGTGTAATAAGCTTAACTCTGGAAAGTATTTAGTTTTTTTTGTTTTGTGATGTTACTTAACTCTTCAAAACATTTTCACCAAAAGGGTATAATTTTATAAGATGACCACCACAAATGAAGAAAAATAAATCCCCAAAACAAACCTTTATTTAGTTTTTTTTTGGGGGGGGGGGACAACCTCCATAGCATTTGGAAGAATAATTTTAATATATGTGAGCCAGCTTAACAGGGATGAAATACCAACAATGTTTAATTTTCCACTGCACTTCTTGTATTGAAAGTGAAGTGAAGCTGGTTTTCATTAAGTGTTGACAATTTGTCTCCTATATGAGATTACCAAAATCAATATCCCAAGCTCCAAATGGCTCTTTTATTTTAAATTACAGTAATAACCTATACACTTTTGAAATTCATTTTGGTTGTTCTGAATAACAAAGTTATTTATATACAATTTGTAAAATTTGTATAAGGCTGTATTGCTGAAGTTCTAATATTTCTAGTGCCCAGAATTATTTTATCTATTTTACTTTGGAATTAGATCTTGTGTTTTGTTTTATATTTTTGATACAATCATAACACTATTCAGTTAAACTATCTATCCCAGAGGAGATTTGAGTTGACATTGAAAAGGTGACGGTGATGTACAACCAATTTGTTGCTGTATCTGATCTTTATTGAGAAGCTCACCATGGCTATAACAATCTTTAAATCTATAAAATTCATATGTTTTCGAAGAATTCAATTTAGCCAAAGGTGCATGTAATCTTTGCAGATATCTGAATTGGAATTCAGCAAGGTCTCCCTGTAGCTTTTGGACAAAACCAATTTTGTACCACATACTGTATTATATGCCTTCCTTCATTGGTCTGATAAATAACTTTTCCTAATTTATGCAATTGAAATGCAAAGCACAATCCTGGTGAACAGCTATGCCAAAAAAAAAAAAAAAACAAACAAACCCTGGACTTCTAGATTTACTGGTTCTGCTCAATTAGCTGGGACAGCTATGGGTGATGGTCGTATCTTTGCCCAGGTGTGTCTTGTGTGCCAATGGCCCCCATTCCTGGACTGCCAGGCCCTGCTCACAGTCAATCCTTGCTCATTTCCTAGTAGGATTATTGCAATGTACACCATGTGGGGCTAGAAGTTACAACTGGTTCAGAATGCAATCACTCATGGTTTGTCCATATTACACCGTTGCTGCATGAGCTGCATTGGCTCCTAATTTATTTCTGGGTGCAATTCAAGGTGCCTATTATCACCTTTAAAGCCCTACAGCAGTTTTTTCAACTTTGGCAGTTTGAAGTTGTGTGGACTTCAACTCCCAGAATTCCTCAGCTAGCTGTTCTGGGAATTGAAGTCCACATATCTTCAAACTGTTAAGGTTGAGAAACATTGTCCCACATAGTTCAGGACCAGGTTATTTGCAGGACTATCTTTCCTGGCTAGGTTGGGCATCTCCAGTCTTTTTCCTTAAATGTTGTCATGTAGTGGGACTTCAGAAGCAGGCCTTTTCCACAAAAACCCCTCCCGTTCCACCAGACCCCAGAAACTAGATTCTCTCTTCCATATTTTTATTCTTTTGTGCCTCAGTCAAACAGCAGTTTCACTCATTGTGTTTATCTGGCAACAGTCTCCCCAAATGTTCAAGAGAGGAATAAATTGGTATATTTGCTCATTCCAGCTTTCACAAGTGCAGTCATCTGGTACAGACCAAGTTGATCGTATGAAAACAAGATCTTTACTAATATATATATATATATATATTTGCTAACTAAAGAGGAACATTCTTCCACAACTGCAGAGGGGGGGGGATAAAATCTACCTCATCTGGTATCCCACACTTCAAATTCTGAACGTCTTACCTCATTTGGAGCATCAGCAAAAGCGAGGTGTACAGAAGAGGCAACCTTTGGATAGCAAACTCTTGCCTGGTTCTCTTTTGGAGAGTAACTCAGAGAGGAAAAGAAAGTCCAGTCTGTTGATTGGCTCTTGTTATTGCAACGGTGTGAATGAGTTCTCTCCGCAGGAAGTTAGAAACAAGAAAACTTTGCATTTTGCTAACCACAAAAATAAGGCTTATAGGCAAGAATTCCATCCAACAGTGTTGTGGTGCTTAAGAAGATAGAACACTCGATTGGACACCTGGTTGTAGTCATTTTTGCAACTGCAAGACACAGCAATCTGAGTTGGGAAGGGTTATCCAAACAATGGCGTACTATTACAATGTAATAGTAACATGGAGATAGAACTCTTTTTATTTTCAAATAAGCTTCAGGAAGAAAAGACGTTGAAGGGTTCGGGGCAAATGAATCAAGTCCTCTCTGAACTTCAGAACTGTTTTGGAAAACTGGATTTGGATGTCTAAATCGATTTGAATTGATGTTTCAAACTCCTTCAGTTCAGGCAGATTGAAGATACGAAGGCATCTGGATAAATTTGAGCACGTTCGGTTCAATGTGATACTTCCACAGGACTGTTATTCAGAAAATATTATCAGAAAATAAGAAGGATGGCTCCGCCTAAATCTAAGGAGTCTCAACAGATTTTGTTCAGAATCTTACTTGGTTCAGATTTCTTCAGATCAACATCTAGAGAGTCTCACAAACTTTTGTTTAAGACTATCTAGAAATTTCCATCCAGTCATATTAACCCTTTGAGGTTGACCAGACCAGGAAACTGACTCCACAAGAAAACTAACAGCATAACAGGGTTGGAAGGGACTTTGGAGGTCTTCTAGTCCAAGCCCCTGTTCAAACCCGATACCATTTTAGACAAACAGTTGTCCAATCTCTTCTTAAAACTCCCATTGATGGAGCACCCATAACTTCTGAAGGCAAGCTGTTCCATTGATTTAATTGTTTTGAGTATCAGGAGATTTCTCCTCAGTTCTAGGTTACTTCTCTCCTTGATGAGTTTCCATCCCTTGCTTCTAGTTCTGCCTTCAGGGGCTTTGGAGAAAAGATTGACCCCTTTTTCTTTGTGGCAGCCCCTAAGATATCGGAACATTACTAGCAAGTCACCCCTAGTCCTTCTTTAACCTAGAATACCCCTTTCCTGTAATCGTTCTTCATATGTTTTAGCCTCCGGACTAGACCAAAGCTTAAGATCTGTTGTATTAACAGGTTCCTAGAAGTCTTGATTGTTCTGTTGCTCCTTCCCACATAGACCTCATTGAGTCAGGTTGAGTTCCTAATACTATCTCTTTTTCCAAGACTCAAGTAATGCCTCCGCCCCCCCCCTTTTTTGGGGGGAAGCAGAGGAGTAATGGCTTCTGTATATTTCTCCTCAGTTCATGACCCTCTGCAGGTAAACCTGAGAATATAAGCTTGTGAATATTTCTGGTAAGACGTCTGCAATAAACAGGAAGTTTTGACCAAGAGTTACACAATGCATGTGTGGTTGTCTCTTCATTAATTCAAAACAGCACATTAAGCCAGGCTACAGTATGGTGTTTTTATTTGAAGTTTCTGACGTGAATCCAATATGAATAAATCCCAAATTCAATTCCATTTTTGACCCGGAAATTTAGGTTAGCAAGGTAAGTGTAGGATTCTTGCTGTGGCCGAGGCTGGTAGATGAGATATTGCAGAAGGAAACAATTAACTCTTCATTTTATTCTTATTAATAATAATAATTACCCACTTTCACATTGTTAGCCAGTCTGTTACATGGAGATGCCCAGTGATGTGTGCTGGAGGGGTCCTTTTTGAAAGTGAAAATTGTGTAAGCCCCTTGTGTGAAAAAGTAATTTCGGTAGATTAAATGCAGAAATTGCCAAATGTTTGGTACATCACTTTCCCTTTTTAAAACTGGGTCTTCTCTCCCTCTCTCCCTCTCTTTCTCTCTCCCTCCCTCTCTCTCTCTCCCTCACTCTCTCTCTCCCTTACTCTCTCTCCCTCTCTCTCTCCCTCCCTCACTCTCTCACACTCTCTCTCTCATACACACACACACACACACACACACACACACCACAGACTCTCCCATCAGCCCATTTCCAACCAACCAATCACACATACACACACACCCCCTATTATTTTGTGAGTAAACTCTTCATAACACATGGGTAGTTGCTTAACCCTAGATGTGAAACTTGGCAGGAAATTACTTTACCAAACTCACCTAAATTCTTGGTGTCCTCCTTTGATGACGTTACCCAGTTTGGTAATGAAACGTCTGCAAGAAAACCATCAAGCTCAGAGAGCACCAAGAATCCCATTGTCTGGAGATTCTCCGCCATCCAAATCAGGGTTGTCCCAAAGCTGCTTTTTCAAAGGGCAAACTGGACTTTCTTCGTTTTTTCTCTTTGCACTTCCTATTTTTGGCCACGAGAGGGTGACCTATACCTTTAACAATCGTCCTTTTGCTCCCATCAAAAGACAAAACCAGATGTCAATCAAGGGGAAAGAACAGTACAATCCCTGGTGGAACTTTCAGCTTCAGAAAATTGTTCTTGCTTTACTCTATTATCTTTGGAAAAAATTTTCAGAGGGAAGCAATCATTTACAGTACTGTGATATATTTAAAACATTTATATTCTCTACTCCACCCTGGAAAGTTTCCACCCTTGATTCCAGAGTAATAAAAATAAGAAAGCCCTTGAAATTTGCAAGCTAATAATCCCTTTCTTTCTTTCTTTCTTGCTTTCTTTCTTTCTTTCTTTCTTTCTTTCTTTCTTTCTTTCTTTCTTTCTTTCTTTCTTTCCTTCCTTCCTTCCTTTCCTTTCTCTTTCTTTCTTTTCTTCTTTCTTTCTTTCTTTCTTTCTTTCTTTCTTTCTTTCTTTTTCTTTCTTTTTTCCTTTCCTTTCTTCCTTTCTCTTTCTCTTTCTTTCTTTTCTTCCTTCCTTCTGTATTGTCTCTACCATTTCTTTACTCTACAGTAAATAAGCAATTATTAAAATAGAAGAAATAGGGGAAAGGGGAAGTGCAAAAGAAAAAAAGAAGAAATAATTCCCAGAAACAAAATACATTAACTTTTTGATCTGAAATTCAATACCCAATATTTCTAAACGCATAAGCATTTCTTAATTGTCACATTCCAAAATTAGTGTAGTCTTTCTGCCAGCTTTTGGCAAAAAGTCCAAAAGTAGTGTTCATATCGAAACAAACTGAGACAAAGTCTTTTCTTTAGTCAAGGTAGGAAGGATGAGAATCAATTAGTCAATCAGCTAAATAAAACAGGCACAAGCTGGGAAAAATCCATCTCCCCTTTGTGGCTTGGAATGCACACTTCAATTTAAATGTGTCTCGAGTGGCTAAGAATTCCATGGAAGGGAACAGACCATCTTGATCTCAAACCTTTAATTTCTACCAACTGTTATCTATTGAAGTTTAGATAGAGGAAAAGGAGAATTTTCTTTAAATGCTGCTCAGGCGAGAAAGAGTTCATAGATTTTTAAAACTATGGATGAGGTAGAAGGTGATGGAAGGGCAGAAATATGGCCATCTGTTTGTTTTTAATGAGGGTCAGATCAATTTCTCCACCCTCTCTCTCCAACAGGAAAAAAAAATCACAGGAAATAAAGCCCATCTTCAAACAAAATTCCAAAAGACCAAAAGTTATCTTTTTCTGGACCACAGAGTCTACAAATAAGATGACCCGATGTTGAACTTAATCCAGGATTCCTACATTGGTTTCTCTATCCAAATACATTTCAATCGGATTGTGGAAGCTTGTATTTCCCTTCGCTTGACTAATCTTTGCAATTTCCAGCAGACTGAAAAACAAACAGAAGGAAAGCAAAGGAAGGAAGGAAATGGCAATTAAGACACGTCTACCCTGAAGTGACTCCACCAGGGCAGGAAAAGTCTGTCTCTTGTCCCCCGTTCACCTATTTTGTTTGAGATATGTTTCTTCCCCAAACAGGATTTTCTGGCTTCCTTAGCTACAAAGATTTTTACATCCAGCCCCAAATCAAGACAAATTAGAAAAACACAGATCGTTAGGATTACAATTGTGTATGTCCAGTCAAAAATTGCAAATGTTTTCCACGAGGTTACAAAATAGTGTAGGATCTGAGTCAGTCACTGACACCAAAGGTTTGTTCTCCCAAGCTTCTGGGCATGTGCTGGAGCCCATTCCACAGAGAACTTCTTTATAATAATAATAAAGTTGGAAGGACCTTGGAGGTCATCTAGTCCAACCCCCTGCTCAGGCAGGAAGCCCTATACCATTTCGGACAAATGGCTGTCCAGTCTCTTCTTAAAACCTTCCAGTGTTGGAGCATTCACAGCTTCTGGAGGCAGGTTGTTCCACTGGTTAATTGTTCTGTCAGGAAATTTCTCCTTAGTTCTAGGTTGCTTCTCTCTTTAGTTAGTTTCCATCCATTGCTTCTTGTCCTACCTTCAGATGCTTTGGAGAATAGCTTGACTCCCTTTTCTTTGTGGCAACCTCTGAGATACTAGAAGACTGCTATCATGTCATCTCTTAATTAAACTAAACATACCCAATGCCAGCAACCATTCCTTATGTTTTAGCCTCCAGTCCCCTGATCATCTTTGTTGCTCTTCTCTGCACTCTTTCTCCAGGTGCATTGGTCTGTTCAATGCTGTTATATTTATATGCTTCCTGGTTGTGTGCATCTTTTAGTTGTTAATTAGGCCATTGATTGTTGGCTATTCAGTCGTTAATTATTGTTTCCTTTTGCCAAATACCTGACAGGCAGGTGGTAAATCAGCACTCCTGTTGATTGACGGAATACAGAATGATAGACTTACAAAACAGTATTCATTTAATGAGGTCTTCCAAAAATAGACAGAGATATAATATCCTTTAGGGCAATAAGGACTATCTAGGAAGAGCATATCTCACATCCAGAATTTATGGGCATCAGCCAAGATCTTGGTAAATATGACTGTGGCTCCTATATACTATAATCACCATAGTCATTATGATGTACTCTTAATTTACTCTCAGATTATTCTTAAGTGCTTGTCATAGTTTACCTGCTATTGGTCTCAAGAAGTCTCCTCAGAAGGATATGAATGGAGGAAAATAGACTCACTTTCCCAAGATCCTCTCATCCTAGAACCAGTTCTGAGCGTCCAGGTTTTTTTTTTTAATAATTTATCTAAAGTTTTGGCATTCTGTATGATGGCAAGACCACTGAAAAACTATGCTTCCTAAGTATTTCAAGGAGTTGAGGTCCTTTCATTTGGGATGTTAGATGATCAGTTAATCTTACAATCTTCAAGGAATGGCTGAGGATAACCCTCTTGATCTTCGAAGCATCATCATCATCATCATAATAATAATAATAATAAAGTTAGAAGGGAACTTGGAGGTCATCTAGTCCAATCCCCTGCTCAGGCAGGGAACCCTACACCATTTGAGACAAATGGCTATCCAGTCTCTTCTTAAAGACTTCCTGTGTTGGAGCATTCACCGCTTCTGGAGGCAGGCTGTTCCACTGGTTAATTGT